AACTAAGGAATTCGTGCCGAAAGCACAAAGACTGTTTGGCGAGGTTTTCATCACAGAACTTAAGAAACACGTGAACCTAGTCACCACCTTGAACAAGGCCCAAACCTCACTCAAACAGGTTTTTCCACAACCCGCCTGGAAGAGGTGTTTTTGGGAGGGCTGGTCGGCAGTGGAACCGAGCCACCAGCCACTTTTGTGCATCAGGTTCCAGAGCATTCGCACAAGCTCCAAACTTCTTCCCATCTACGACTCAAAGACCCTCATCGTACCGAGGGGCAGGAAGGACTAGAGGCTTCAGAGGTCGAGGACGTGGCCGTTTCTCTAATGGTGAGTCCAACTACAGACCAAAATGTTTCAAATTTTATAGCAGGCAGCCTGTCCCTTTTCTTACAGAACTGGGAGCTAATTACCAAAGACGCCTCGGTCCTCCAGACGGTACGCAGCTCCGTCATAGAGTTCTCCTCACGACCCATACAAACCCCCTCCTCCGATCCACATGTCAGTAGAACAAGAACGCCTGGTGGACGAGGAGATCCACACACTCTTCAAAAAAGGCGCAATACAGTATGCACCAGGAGGGGGAGGCTTTCTAAGCAACATCTTCCTGGTCAAGAAGAAGACAGGCAACTACAGACCGGTTATCAATCTCTTACAGTTGAACTCATACGTAATATACAGGCACTTCAAGATGGAAGGAATCCATGCTCTGCAGGACCTCCTCATCAAGGACGACTGGTTTACGCGTCTGGACCTCAAAGACGCGTACCTGTCAGTCCCAGTCGACATACACTGCCGAAGTTTCCTCCGCTTCCGATGGAGAGGACATATATGCCAGTTTACATGTTTGCCATTCGGCCTCAGTTCGGCTCCGTGGTGCTTCACGAAGCTACTGAGACCTGTGATGGCACACATCCGAACCATGGGCATACGATGTCTCGTATACCTGGACTATTTGCTAATCTTTTGCGAATCCGCGTCCAGACTGCGATTGGAGACGAAATTTGTCATTCACTTACTGGAATCGTTAGGTTTCGTAGTGAACAGACAAAAATTGTCTCTCTCTCTCCCTCCCAGTCGGTCCAATTCCTTGGCTTCGACATCGACTCGAAGGACTGTGTGCTACGACTACCCTCGGCGAAGATAGCCTCGATAAGAAAAGAAATCAGACGGGTACTGAGAATGGACACAATACCACTCAGGATGCTCGCTCGGATTGTGAGACTCCTTTCCTCCTCCATACAAGCGATATTCCCGGGCCCGTTACACTACAGGGCCATGCAACGACTGAAGGCGGGATATCTACGCACCGGACACTCATACGACCACTGGATCCCGCTGTCGGCGAAGTGAGAACAGAACTGCGATGGTGGTTGCTACACATACAAGCATGGAACGGCAAGGCAATTTTCGGCTCTTCCTCAGACTTCATCTTGGAATCTGCGACAGCCTATAGGGATGGGGTGCGCACTGCACGGACGCCTCCACGGGAGATCCATGGCAAGGGGAGGAGACCAATCTACACATCAACTGCCTGGAACTGATCGCGGGATCCTTCGCCATCCGCAGCCTGGCCAAGGACAAATCAAACTCCTGCATTCTGCTCCGCATGGACAACCTTTTCGGCGGTACAGTACATCAACCGCCTAGGCGGAGCCAGATCTCGAGCCCTGACAGAAACCACGAAAGACATCTACAAATTCTGCCTACGACGGAACATCACACTACAAGTGGAAAATCTACCGGGAATCTCCAACCTGACGGCGGACTGGTTCTCTCGCCACTGGCGAGACAACAGCGATCTGAAACTAGACAAGGAGATATTTCAAGAACTACGATGGGGGAAAAACCCACTATCAATAGATCTATTCGCCTCCAGGACCAACCACCAGCTACCGAGATACTACAGTTGGCTCCCGGATCCGAAAGGCGAAGCTGCGGACGCTTGCCTGCAGAATTGGCCCACCCAAGGAGCATACGCCTTCCCACCGTTCTCCATGATCCCACGGGTACTTCGATACACACGCGCCCACAAGATATCGCTCCTGCTCATTACACCACTCTGGCAGAGCCAACCGTGGTTTTCAGACCTCCTGGAGATATCTCAGGAAACCCCCCTACTTCTGCCTACCTTCCCGCTCCTTCTGACGGGACCTCGAGGGGAACCCCATCCCCTCGTCCTGGAAGGACAACTGGAACTAGTGGCCTGGACGATTTCAGGGGCTCCTGGTCAGTCCACGGACTATCACAATCTACTAAAGACCTCCTATGGGACTCATGGGCCCCCGGCACCAGGAAATGCAATACTTCCGCCTGGTCGGCCTGGAATGATTGGTGTGTGGAAAGGGATTACGATCCCTTTACTGCCCCTATCCCACTGGTCCTCAACTACCTATCCCACCTGTTCTCGCTGGGACGATCGTATCGATCCCTCAATGTGATCAGATCCGCCATATCGGCGGCACACGTCCCGGTACAGGGCAGACCGGTAGGTCAAGACCCACTGGTTTGTCGTCTATTACGGGGTGCCAAGTTAACGAGGCCCCCAGCACCCAAGTACTCACAGTATCAGCGCTTAGTTAATATACCCCTATTTTTTGTATATGGGTCAACAACAAAAATATATTGAATAAATTAAATGAAGAGTCCCAGTTTCAATCTTCATGGGGTGTTTTCAAATGTCCGCAGGGATTTGATAGTTGTAACAGTAATTGATGTAAAAAGACTTTGTCTTTATATGTATCAAACCTTTAATAAAAAAGATACTAACATAGCGTGATACAGTTACAATACTTTATTTCCCATACGGTAATCCCCCCATAAGAGGAACTCTTACAATTAAAAGTGGTGAAACTTATTTCTAAGGTTCACAATAAAAGCGTAGAAATGCAGAATATTGGTTGGTGAATATAAAGTTACCGCTCAGTGGGTGTTAATTCCAGACCGGTCCTGTGCACTCGGATCGATCCTCACTGAGACGCCAACTGACCAGTCTTGCTGCAGTCTCTCCATATTCAAAAATCCCGCCAGAAACACGATCTACGCGTTTCGCTCATTCAAACGAGCTTTCTCAAGATACAGTGTTCTGGGGGATTGTGGTTACATATATATCTCTAGCAATTAAGTAATTAAAAAACAAGAAATTCATCTGGTACATTAATATCTTCCATTTAACTATGTGTTCTCTGATTCTTACTATATTTTCAGAATCATAGCAGTATATCATTATTTCGTTTTGATTGGTATAAATATACACAGTTTCTAAACATCGTGAATGGTTAATCCTAACAAACAATCAGAATCAACATATTCTTCTATGATTAGTGGAACAATTAAGTTCCAATGTTTTATGCATTAAAGATGAAAAATAAAGCATTTTATGTTTCATCCTTTTTTTTTCATCAATTAAAACATAGTAAAAACGCTGGTGTTCTAGACAAAATTCTAAATATAGTAAATGATAAAACACTCATATAAATATACATAATTGCAGCATGAATTATAAAACTTAAATCAACTTATAAACATCATGAGTAATTAGTTCTATTAGACAAATTAAAATCAAATTCATTCTCTATAGTTAATGGAACAGTTAGGTTTCCATCTTTTATATAGTTTGGAAAAATGATAAACAATTCATATTTCTCTACTTTTTCATCTATTCAAACGTGAGAAACATCAGTCGTAAATTAGTCTACCTTAAGTGAATTGTAGTAAGTAGTTAAATATATCAGACTCTTTACATCAGCCCGATCCTTTGTATCTAACAGAGCAATTAAGCTCCGATCTTTAGTGCTGTGAAAAATAGACTATTTTATCTACAGTTCCTATTTCACATTACCTCTTGTTTCCAAATGCTTTTAACAGCCATAGGAGATAACAATTAAAATAATACAGTCATAAAAGAAAAATGTTTAAATCCCTTAAAGGCACGGACTTTCTTTCTATTCAATTTTATCAGCCCGTGTATTCTAAACTTTTTAACCAGGGATATCTTACAAATTCCAGAATCTAATAAGAATAAATAACCAAATGTCAATAAAAACTTTTAGAATAAAAAGAAGACCTATAAAAATATATATATTATGAATCCTGTTAAAAAATCTTATTTCCATTCTCTATATCAGATCATAAAATATGTGCTATTTCAAATTCAGCATTAAGTCCAAATGGAGTTAGGGTTTTTAAAGTATAAATCCAATAAGTTTCTCTATATATTAAACTTTTCACTAAATCCCCTCCAAGGGACTTTAATTTTCTGGATTCCACAATAAGATAGGGATGCTGGATTACTGTTGTGGTGTATCTTAAAATGTTCTGACAATGAATGTTTTTCGAATATTCTGTTAATATTATACACGTGTTCTCTCAATCTTGTCTTAAGCATTCGTTTAGTTTGTCCCACATACTGTAGACCACAAGTGCAGCTCAATAAATATATGATTTGTTTGGAATTGCAAGTTATGCATTCCTTTATTTTATATTTTTTCTTGGTAGTTGTAGATGAATATTCTAGGGTGACCCCAAAAGGTGTACCTACTAATTTACATATTCTACAGGACCCACATTTAAAAAAACCTATATGAGAATTTAAAAAATGTTTCTCAGGAGACGGTCTCATGTGGCTATGTACTAATTTATCCTTTAACGTCGGTGCTCCCCTAAATATAATTTTAGGTTTTGGAGGTAGTATTGATGCCAATATTTGGTCTTGTTTCAACAAGTCCCAATTTTTGAGTACTGCCCTCTTGATATAGTTGGTCTGGGCATTAAAATTAAAGATGAGGGGACAGAAAAACTTTTCCTTATTCTCGTCCATCTTTTTCTCTCTCGGTGCTAAAATCTCCGTTCTAGTAATTTTGGAGACTTTCTCTGATGCCCTATCAAGTAAATCCGAGTCATACTTTTTGTCTAAAAATTGTCTTTTAACTTTTAATATTTGGTCCCTACACACTTCTTCCTCTGTGCAATTCTTTTTGATTCTTAGAAATTGGCTGTAGGGAACATTTTGTAGCCAAGAAGGGAAATGACAGCTAGATGTCCAAATGAAGCTGTTCACATCAACAAGTTTAAAAAAGGTTTTGGATTTTAAAATCTCTTGTTCTACATATAAAACTAAGTCCAAAAATTCCACATGTTCTTTGCTGTAGGAATATGTGAAAGACAAGTTAAAATTATTATTATTAAGATGTGTTAAAAACTCCAATAGTGCCGCCTCTGTACCCTCCCAGATAAAAAAGCAGTCATCTACATATAGGACTAGGTTTTCTACCCAGCAGTGCCCTTGCCAGATAAACAGCTCCTCCCAATATGACATAAAAATGTTGGCATAGCTGGGTGCAAACCTAGTCCCCATGGCATTTCCATTTGTCTGTAGAAAAATGTCCTCCTTATACCAGAAAAAATTATGTTTCAGTATGAAATCCATACATTCTAGTAAAAATTCCACCTGTTCCATGTTAAAACTCTGATTCTCATACAAAATATGTCTCATAGCTTGTATCCCTAAATCATGTTGGATTACGGTGTATAATGAGGTTACATCACAGGTAACTACCTCGACGGACCGGTGTCTACGACTACACTGGCTAGGTGTGTCCGCTGGCTATTATCATTGGCGGGCGTTGAACCCTGCTTCGGAGCGCACTTGGTCAGAGGGGCGGCAGCCGCCTCTCTAGCCGACATTATGCGCTGCGCGGATTGGACAGGAGAGAGTACTTTTAGGACGTTTTATTATCGCCAGACATCTCATGCTTCCTTCACATTAGTCAACTCGAAGCTTTAAAAATGCAAATATGAAGCCTCCTGTCATGTGGTAAAATTGAAGATATTAGCTTTAGTGTACTAATAATCTTAATTTTAGTAATGACAGGAGGCGAATATTTCCCACCCTAAGACCCTCCCATATTCTTCTCAAGTTATACAATACGCCTCATGTTCAGGAAGACACGTACAATGTTTCAAGGTATGTTTTCCTCTTAGACACGTATCTGGAGAGGACTGTATAGGGTGAATAATTAGGCATGTACCTGGAGTATGATGTGCATATATACGGATAAATAATGTAGCTTAAATTTATTGTATTTAAGTGTTACTAATTCAGATATCATTTATTATGCCAGATTCTTAATGTTTATGGTATGGGGACAAATTACCACGCCAGAGACCTTTCACCTTTTTCTTCTCTTGCAGTGTGAAAGTTCCCAAGACTGGACAAAGTTTTATCTTCCATTTCCCTACGTCACGGGACTGCTGGATTTGGATATTCTTCTATGCTATTGAACTGTTGACGTTTATTTGGACTACGTTTTATATATTTTTACTTGTTGTTCGCTTCAAAGAAAGAGGAAGTGATGTCATAGACAGGGCCTTTATGGGCATCATTACTTTTTTCTGATTGGTTGTTATGTTTCTATGCTGCTGGAGTTTTCAGTAAAGAAAGATATGCAAATATTCGCCTCCTGTCATTACTAAAATGAAGATTATTAGTACACTAAAGCTAATATAATCTTCAATTGTCCTATCTATAGTTAAATCCCCCCTTTTTAATATTGTAAAGCGCTACATAATCTGTTGGCGCTATATAAATGCAATAATAATAATAATAAGAGCAATGCTCAGCACTTATTTCCAGGGCCAGATTAAGAGCCCATTGTGCCTGGTGCTGACAATTATGATGGGCCTAATAACAGAATCTTATCGACCAAAAACACTAAAACCGTCATACCTCCCAAGCGTCATGTATCTGATGGAGATGGTGTTGGAGGGAAACTCAAAGGATGCAGCTAAAAGAAAACACATACTCTATGCTAATCTCTCTAATTTATGCTTTCATCTTTCGAGTAAATCCATACCCCCTAATAGCAGTGTGCAGTGAAGCAGGACGTCAATGGGCGGGGTGGTGGGCCACTGATGCGAATCACGTGACCAGAACGGCGAAAAGGGTCGAACATGCCCAAAAAGTGGGCCATGACTGTCCAAAGAATTGAAAGGCCAGTCTGGCATCAGTGTCCCCATGACGCCTAGTCCTCTAGTCTCCCAGTGTCCCCATGTCACTAGAATACTAGGGGACACAGAGACATCGGGACACTAAGAGACCCGGAGAAATGGGGACACTAAGGACACAGACACTAGCTGGGAAACATGTGAACACTGGGAGCCATGGGGACATTGAGACACTAGGGACACAGACATGGGGACACACACTGGGAGCCATTGGGACACAGACACAGTCTGGGAGACGTGTGAACACTGTGAGACATGGGGTCACAGACATATGGGGACACTGGGAGCCATGGGGACACTGGCTTGGAGACATGGGGACACTGTGTCCCTAGTGTCTCCCAATGTCCCTATGTCTCACACTGTCCCCATGTGTTTCAGTGGCCTTTCCCCTCATCCCTCACTTCCCTGAGCTGCTGTCTGAACTCTCTGTGCTCTGTTGCTCCTCCCCCGCAGATCAGTGAGTAGAGAGGCAGGGAATGATATGCTGTAACTTTCTATCCCAGCCTCTCTCCACACACAGTGACCCCTTACTGGCTGGTGCTGGTTTATACTGAGAAAAATATCTGCATTTGTATTGCCGGTATTACTGCAATACCAGCACTAGCTGTGCTGGTAAAATACCAGTTAGGTGGCAAACCTAAGAGTAGTGTGTGTATTAAAAAATAAAATATATATATATATATATATATATTTTTGGGGGGCCTATTCCATGGGCCTGGAGCTGCAGCTCCATCAGCCCCTATGTTAATCAGGCCCTGCTTATTCCTTATATTGCATGTTTGCAGCAATACAATTTTTCTGTTAAGTAATATGTCACTGCAAAGTGACAGATACTTTGCATTTCAATGGGCAGAGTGTAATATTTTTAAGCACATTAGATAAAGTTCTTTTGTGCCTGCAACAATTTTTTTTTAAATTATTCTCACTAAAGTATATTCATTTCAACTTCTCTTTAGGGAATTCCTGCTTTTTCTAGCCTTAGATGTATTTCTATGAGCGTTTCCCCCATTCATTAGGTTTTGCCTAATGGTCTTCTGAAAATGCAATGTTTTGTGAATTTCTTCTTTTTCTTGATACAAGTTTAACTTAAAATTCAGCACCTATTCTCAATGGAGAAACCTGCTGCTTATACACTCATAAATAGTATCTAAAATTTGTCAACATGGATAGAGGCCATCTCCCACTTATAGAACTTCTGGACTCTTTAGATCAATCTGATCTCCATTTATCCCATCTTCCCTGGTTGGTGTGTAAGCATGGTTTCTTTATATAAACACATTCCTGTGTTTTCCCCCTTTTCCACCTACTCTCCTCTTCGTTTCAACCTATGCTTTGCCATTTTCCTTTGGTTATCCAGTGTAATTACCCATTTTACCATCAAATATTGGCAGTTGATAATTCTTAATTTTAGTGGCTACTGTCACAGAGATTTCACTTTCAAAAAGGAATAATATTGCCTTTCTTTTCGTCTAGGGTTGCTCCTTAGATATAACCATACAGTGTGTATTCATTATTTTTCCTTGAAAAACAAACATTTTGTCTTTGAACTTCTGGATCTTGTTTCACACCACATGAGTATTTAAGCAGGTGCACTATGGAAGTACTGCTGCAGGTAAAATAATATTTTATATAGTACTGTTGGACTGTGGATGGATGGAGAAAAATATTGCCAATACAAAAAAAAAAAACTCCCAAAAGCTATTGTATAATTAACATTATAGAAACCATTTACAAAAAAATAAAAAAAGCATTCAATGGATACTTTTAATATGTTGACATTTTAAAATTTTACATACATCATTTCAGCATAGCGAAAAACAAAAACACAAAAAAAAATATCTTAAAGATGCAATATGACAATGAGAGAAATTAAATGTAGAATTTAAGGCTGGCATACCAATGTAAATAGAGAAATTAATTTGCACTTGGGTAGATGAAGGAGACTATCAGATTAATATCTGCAGAATATGTTTAAAACAATCAACCAGAGTAATCAATATTTCAAATGCTATCTTTTGAGTTTCTGGCAATTTGTACCATATCAAATTGCACACCTGGGAAAAAAAGTTACCAATAAGGTTCTGCACGGAGATGACAAATGCTTCCTTACTTACACAGGATAAATGTGTTCTGAACATGAGAATTAAACACACCCTTTTATTATGGAGAGAAGAATGAACACTGAAATTGTAACAGTTATTGGGCCATGAATCTGGTAAGATAGTAAGATACATAGTAAGTGTATAAGGGCCAGTTCTGAAACACCAATGAAGATGTGTAATATCAAAGACTATTTAAAAGTAACACTATGGGGGCGCATCAGCACTCTACTTGGTTTTGGCATCATGTAAAAAATGTTTGCAGCTTTCTGCAGGTTAACGCCCCACTTAGCTACAAGACAGCTTTATTATCTCTTCTAAGAATGCCAGTGGTCTACAGTGCTATTCAACCAATGCATTGTTCAGTTTTAAATCCAGTATAGTGCAAAGGTTCTTAAATGTAATACTGCAAACAAACAGTATAACTTCACAAACTGTGATTGCAATGATAATATAAATGTAACTTAATTAATAAAAAATAAAATGGACTGAGACTGCAATGTTAAAAATAACCAATTTTATAGTCTACTTGCAAAACATAAGTAACAAAACAAAACAAACTTTGGTTGCAGTTCATAGAAATAAGCAAATGGTTGACACTGATATTGTCAAAGCACTTTCGGTTGATTTTGTTATACAAACTGTGCTTGATATTTGGGGATTAAAGGGTGGAAACTTGATTTTAATGTTTTTACAAACTGTTTATATAATGTGGTGCACAAGAAGAAAGTTTCTTATTTTGAACAACATTGAGATAAATTTTCTGTGGATCCATGTGCAGCCAGATTATTCCATAAATTACACACTTCTAATACTATGAATGTTCAAAAACAAATAAAAATATATTTTTGTGTTTAAGGAAAATCACCCACGAAAACAATAACCTAAGAGCAGATCTTATATACGTTTGAAAACATGCTCTCTTACAAGTATGTTGATGCTGGTTTTATCAGAGAGAAAGGAGGGCAACCCTTATAAAATGGGACAAGAAAGGGACAAAAACATGAAATATCTATTTGGAGTGGTATAACGTCTGATGCTATCCTTACATGTAACATTAAACAATTATTAATGGTTTAATACTAATCAAGTGTCCATATTTAGCAGACACTTAGCGGGTTTTTACACTAAATGCCGAATTCAAGTTTTTTTTTTTGCAAATCTGCATTAATTTGGATCTATAATCCTGCATTTGGTTCAGGATCACTGAATTTATGAATAACTGAATGGCAGTTGAATCTCTACTATTTTAAAATGTATCTTAGTGTGATTCATTAAAAAAAAAAAAAAAAAAAAAAAAGAACAGCTCAACTGCACAACAGCTGACTGCTAAGGGAAGAGAAGTGTTTTAAGGGTAGAGAGTAATGAAACTGCCCTGCAACTTAAAGCAATTCTAAACTTCAATAACACAGTAGCCAAATTTAATAATTATGTTATAACCTGTATGTCTCTATAAAACAAATGTGCACCTCTTTCTCCATGACAAAAAAATATATATTACACTGTTGGGAAGGACACACTACATCAGATAGTCTATACAGATATGATCTCAGGAGGAGCAGGTATGGTCAACTTACAAAGCTGCCCAGTGCCTACTGCACAGACTGAGCAGAGATTTCCCCCTCTTCACAATGAAAACGAAGATTTTGTTTATTTCAGAGACAAATCGGAGAGCACCCAAATTAATCTACAAACTTTTGTGAATAAAAATAAATTTATCTTGGTTAAAACAGTCACCATGTTACAGCTGAACTGCAATCACCTGCCATTTGGTTGAAATTCACTGTTTAAAGAATAGATCCTTAAGTAGTCAAATCAGATGGGAGTAGTGATGTCACTCCAGTTGTTGTAGACTATGTTTTATTATGGTCAGCCAGCTAAAGCACTGTACTCTGCTAGTTAAACTGCACTATCAAAACTACTATAGGGCTACTCTCCAAGCATCATTACCACTCCATGTGCAGTATTTCAGCATGATTTTTAATGCTGCTGCCATGGGTGCAACTCCACTTTAGGCAGCAACATTAGCCAACCTAGAACAAAAGTTCTGGTCTGACTAGTGTCAAGTCTGCATATTCCATATACAAAGCTTCAATTATTAACCAAGAGCACCAAGATGATTCTCTGCAAAAGTTGGATGCGACCATGCCAGGTGTTAGGAGACTGCAAACTCAGTGGGACCCAGGTAAGAAGCAAACTCTTGCAAAATGGATTGCCACTTTACCGGGGGGGAAACGCACAATAGATTGTAGATTATACGCACATCTCAAGACCATAAGTCTTTACGAGTGATTAACCAGAAAATTTTAAAAATGGAAAAAAAACAAACAGCAGAATATCAACCTGTAGGCTAAAGGTGCACCTAAAACCTTGTAAGTTAAACAAAAAAGATGGACTACCCTGTGAGATTTTCCACCATATTGGATTGATTGACAATTCAGCAAAATTGATTATACTTCGCCAGTCTAACTAGTCTCCTGAAACTGGTGGCTAATCATTGACCTACTGTAGATACATATAGAAAAATGTGTGCATTTACAAATCATATCTACATATTAAAGGACTAATGTCAACAGTTAAACATTCGGTAGTCAACACTGAATGAGCAGTCTGTATATGATTTTGATGTGTCTTAGATGTGTCTAAGAAGAGGTCTATATACTCAATCAGCAAATATAAAAAAAAAAAAAATAAAAAAAAAAAGTACATTTGATCATTAAGATGGCCTGTAAGTGAGCAGGTATCTTGCTGAGAGAATTAACATTTTGTGAAAAATGGGGGTAGTAACACAATCAAGTACATTTTGCTCCTTTTTGTAGGACATGCGGTTCATGCCTAGAGTACTATATAACTAAAAACACTTATAAACAACTTTGTTGCAGGAGCTGCTTCCAACACAGATTGATCAGAAAAATCCAAAAGGAGTTGAAAAAAAACATTAAAAACAAGAATATTTTGCAGTCTCCTTTTCCCCTTCCTTCCCTTTCTGGTAAGAGAAAGTCTGTAGCTCAATCAAGGCAATGACGGTCTTGTATTCCTTTTCAGTTCGAGAAAAAAAAAAAAAAAAAAAAATACACTGAAGAACACTGAAAAATGCAGGAATGCTTCAGGATGATTAATAAAGGGTTTCAGCATTGCTGCTTCGAGGCCTCTTGATTTTCTCAATGTTTTTAAGAATCATATCATGTAATGTGACCTGAAAAATAAGAAATGGTAAGTGGCCGATTACATGTTCTTGTGTGTGTGTAAACAGAGATTGTGAAGGGTTAATGAATGCTATTTTACTAACACATCCTGAGTAGTCTGTATGTTGATAAGTGCCTTTTAGTTATGCCACACATCCAGGATAAGCTTGGGGGAATAGGCCAAGGCTGTGAATGTTCAAGATGGTCTGTTCCACTCCTCATGACCATTATGTGAAACGTGCATGGAGTTCTAAGGCACCATTACATAGTTACATAGCTGAAAAGAGACAAGTTCAGCCTTCCTCACATATGTTTTTCCTGGTGATCCAAAAGAAGGCAAAAAAAACAGTCTGAAGCGCTTCAAATTTTGCAACAAACTAGGTAATTCTGACCCCAAAATGGCAGTCAGAGATCTCCTTGGATCAAGCAGCTATTACCCCACTAATTAGAAATTATATCCTGTATGTTATGTTGTTGCAAGTATTTAGCAATTCTGCCCACTGGTAGTGGCTTGGCAGATTTATCTAAGGTGATTTAGGGGCTCTGCAAACATGCGCTTAGCTAGTCTTTCATTACCAATGATATAGAAAGTTTCTCAGTAGCCCTATTTGAGTTTAGACATTTTTCTTTTTGAGGCACCTTTAATTATAGGGTGCTACTTTATTGTTTTATTTAAAATTTCTTATCACAATTATAACTCAGTTTTAAATGGCAGAAAATTGAGAAGTGAAACTTCAGAGGCATGATCTATACACCAAAACTGCTTCCATTAAGCTAAAGTTGTTTTGGTGACTATATCAATGTGATGGCTTTATACTTACATCATACACCCCCCCCCCCCATACCCCAAAGTGCATGCATGTGTTCATTGGGGGTATATCTACTAAACTTTGGATGTTTTGTTTTTCTTCTCTGCAAATGTGGACTGTCGTCATCAAGATCTGTTACCATGCTACAATGTTCAGGGAAAAGAATTTTGTGAGGAATTTTTTTTAACTCACGTATTGATTCCTCAGCTCTGATATAATTAGCCGTAAGCTGATATACTCCTTTTCATCTATTTCTGTCACTGTACGTCGATAGTCTTCCTGTAACAACAGAAATGGTTTAAGAAAATGTAAAATTTTATCCCAGGGTTAATCATATCTATTTTTTTTTTTTTGGCAGTCCTAACAAGTCCTCAATCCTAAAGGGGTAGAGAAGCAGAAGATATATTCCAAAATCAATCAGTGAATTAAAGGAACATTATAGCATTAGGAATACAAACCTATATTTGTAGATTTGGTTTAGCCAAGCCTCTCTTGCCAAGGCTCTTAAATAAGTTTTCCCAAAGATAAACGACAAAGGTGTGATTGCATGCACAAAGACTAGAGACTATGTTCAACCATTAAACACAATTAAGAATGCGGAAGATGTATTCAACCATTAATGGAAAATATATTGTTTTACCTATGTAATGCTTAGTGAATATTCCCCTAGACATACATATATGTATGCTGTCTATAGATTGATGTAATTTTGCTGACAAGCACAGGGCTAATTTTATTGCTTATACTGGAGTGCAAGCATTGGAATATATATATATATATATATATATATATATATATATATATATATATATATATATATATATATATATATATATCCAAAATTAAAAATGGATTTTCTCACCCCTCCTGGGTGGTAGTTTGAGGGTTCTGCACATATATAGGAACATTATTTATATTTATTTATTTTATATTACAGGTTGTCAGTCTCATGTCCTGCTTTCTACTTCTGTATTTATTATTACTAGCTAAAAGTATATACTGTATACATGGCATGAAAGACTGAATGGTCTGTAGGCCTGATTATAATACAAAATACTCAATCTTTGGAAGGGTTAAACTTTCTTTTTTTATACAGTGAATAGATTGAGCCAAGTTAGATACACAGGAAAGGTGGGGGGTAACCCCAAATGAAGAATAAAGAAAACAGAATGAAGTGTATCTAAATCATGATACAAGATGTAAGTATCAACAGAATTCCAGATAGCCACCAAATAGCCTACTAAAGAGGCCAGATAAAGCCACTAAAAACAAAAAATAATAAAAGTTTATTGTACAAAAATAAATATGAAACCCAAACAAGTGCTACCATATACACACCCAAAAATGATGAATTAAAATGATTGCTAGACAGGTCTATAAAGAAAAAATAGATCGTCTAAATCAAGGTAAAACAACAAAATATGTTGTAACAGATCAAAAAATGAAAACCATTCCTGTCAGTTATATCTGGTCATAGGCCAGGCTAGAAGAGCAGAATGCCAGTCACATAGATCGGTAAATATATTGGATCTGGCACTTTAAATCTCCATAATAAAATAATGTACCATATATGTCTTATTCAAGGTATGAGTCAATATGGAGAGTCAATTATCCGCAGTGATAAATAATAAACCAAACTAAAAAGTCGGTCTAATAATAGGTAGATCGATTATAAGGTCTGTCTCATTGGATGAAATACTAATGGGCAGAGTGGATCTTCTAAATAGCTAAACACAAGCTAATATAGGTAGATATTAAATGTCAATAAATCACAACACAGAAGAAAATAAGGTAATTGAATCGATATTAAACTAATAGGATAACGAATTTAGAGTAATGGAGCGATAGCCTGCATGAAAAAATTCTGCTAATCAGCTGGATGAACAATATATCAGTGGATACATCCAGCACGTATAGACTAAACTGACAGTGAGAAAGTCATAAAGATATGTCTGGGGGGAACATAATAAGGGAGAGAAATACATGAGAAAAAGGTTATAATAAGAGGTGCTACAAAGTATCAATTTGGTAGCACACAGAAAATAGAGAGTTATCAGCAATATAAAGTTTAATATCGATTCAATTACCTTATTTTCTTCTGTGTTGTGATTTATTGACATTTAATATCTACCTATATTAGCTTGTGTTTAGCTATTTAGAAGATCCACTCTGCCCATTAGTATTTCATCCAATGAGACAGACCTTATAATCGATCTACCTATTATTAGACCGACTTTTTAGTTTGGTTTATTATTTATCACTGCGGATAATTGACTCTCCATATTGACTCATACCTTGAATAAGACATATATGGTACATTATTTTATTATGGAGATTTAAAGTGCCAGATCCAATATATTTACCGATCTATGTGACTGGCATTCTGCTCTTCTAGCCTGGCCTATGACCAGATATAACTGACAGGAATGGTTTTCATTTTTTGATCTGTTACAACATATTTTGTTGTTTTACCTTGATTTAGACGATCTATTTTTTCTTTATAGACCTGTCTAGCAATCATTTTAATTTATCATTTTTGGGTGTGTATATGGTAGCACTTGTTTGGGTTTCATATTTATTTTTGTACAATAAACTTTTATTATTTTTTGTTTTTAGTGGCTTTATCTGGCCTCTTTAGTAGGCTATTTGGTGGCTATCTGGAATTCTGTTGATACTTACATCTTGTATCATGATTTAGATACACTTCATTCTGTTTTCTTTATTCATTTTTTATACATACAATTTTTTTTCTATTCTTGTGCTTGTGTGCCTTACACCAGTTATCACTCTTTTTTTTATAAACATCCTGCACTTGAAGAAAAAGAACATTATTTCTAAGCACCTGCAATCTTTAATTGGGTTCATCAGTTAACAGAAGACTAACTAACCGCAAGACGTAAAGTTATATGAAAAATTATACTTCTGGTTCTGAGACTCCTATGATTGGTTACTTTTCCGTTGATGAATACACCCCTAGACAAACTGTGTTTTATAGATGTGATGTACGACGCATTAAATTTTTTAATGCTGATTGATAATCCATCTGAACTGGTGTGACTTCTTTGACTATTCCCAGCAGCTGAGTTTACACAGAGACAAGGAAAGCAGAAATGTGTTAGTGCGTAAGTCTATGGCTGCGTAAGGGTTTATGAGACCCTGTGGTGATTTTCAGCCTATCAACCATTAAAAGGGACAGTAAGCAACAAAACCACATATTTAGTCATGGCTTTGTTTGGAGCACTTTCTTGGACAATTTAAAATATCAATGTTTATATTTGTCCAAAAACATGTCTATTGGTTTTCAGGCAGTAGTATGATGCCACTGAACATATGCTGTAACATTAGAGTGCTCTATTAATGATCATGATATGCAAAGAAAATTAAGATATATGAAGTTATTCATTCTCCAAATCATTTCAACATAAGACAGCTACATTGCTGTGACACTGTGAATGCTGGAAGAGGCTCAGAACCTGGAAATTTAGACATTATATTAAATAGTTGGGTGCGCTTTCCTGTCCCATGAATATATAATTTGTGTTTCAATACACTGTTCCGTTTAACATATGCCAAACAATTTAACATTAAATGGGCAAATAAATAATTTCCAGGCTGACTAATGTAAATTCTGTTCAAATTTTGAAGAACAGACGCTCATTGATTGGCTGAGAGGGATCAGCTCACGTTCTCTGCCATTCAATGAAAATCAGGATCTACCACAGCTTCTGCAGCTCTGCAGAAGCCAGATGTCAAATCTGAGTACAAAGAAAATCAAGAGCCCTGTAGGATCCAGGTATCATAACAACTATAATAGGCTGTAGTGGTTATGATGGTTGGAGTAACCCATTAATGTCATTTTTCATACAATGCTTTAGCTGGTAATACACTTTCTTTTAAAATGTATATTAACCCCTTAAAGACACATGACATGTGTTACATGTCAAGATTCCCTTTATTCCAGAAGTTTGGTCCTTAAGGGGTTAAAGATCTAGCAATTGATGTTACAATCCAGTCTAGTCTGCATTGATGGATGAGAAAATAAACATTGGGAGAAATGTATCAAAATCATCTGTTCTAAAAATTACTCTAAAGTAGTAAAACATGAGGGCTATCACCGTGAGAGTGAGAAGAACAAAAAGGAAAAAGGGTGACTGGACTCCATTTTCAATTTTTGCATCACTTATTATAACATAAAACACCACTATATTTTCTGCATGTTTATTGAGTAAGAAGAGCAGGGCTTATAACAATGTTAGGCAGGGAGCCATGATTGAGGGACTCCCAGGGTAGATGTGGGGATTTCTGAATATAATTGAATGGAGACCTCACATGTACATATTTATTAGACTAAGGTGGTAACAAAATGTTCTATGAAGATAAACAGAAATGTGCTAAAGTATTTATAAAAAAAATAAAAAAAAAAAATTGGGACAAGTTCACAAATTCACCCCTTAATAACTGAATAAAAAAGTAACAAAGAGAAGCTTTGTATCTAATTAACACCTTAAAGACACAGCTTCAAAAACTGGACCTACCCTTAAGGACACAAGCATTTTTTGCTGTTTGTGTCAACCTCCCTTGCATTTTTCTTATTTATTGCACCAACACATGTTATATATCGTTTTTTAAAAGGACAAAAAGGGCTTTAATCTGATTGACATATACATATATAAATTCTTATTTATTATAAAAAAATCAAAAAGATTGCAAAAAAAAAAAAAAGGATTTTTTTTTCACATTTTAGGCAATAATAACGTGTGTATAATAAATGCAGCTTAAGGAAAGTAAGTAAAAAAAATATTCAATTAGTTGTTCTGATTTTCAGAGTACAAAATATGTCTAGGATTTCAGCTTATTTTGAAAGTTACAGGTCACAAAATACAAGGAGTAAAATAAAATGTTAATGTGGAGCTATTTTAGAAGTTGGTATGTTTGTCTTGTAAGCTTAATAGCCATCACAGAAAGCAAAATTGCCGCACAAAAGTATATATTTATATAAATCACACATCACAGGGTATTTACCAAAGGGTATTCTGACACTCTTTAAGTAGCCATTTCGCCGCCAATCACTGCTAAATAGTGTAGTAAAATTTTATTTTTTTAATGTGCATTTCATAAAGCTGATATATACTACTGCTGTAGAAAACCCCCATATCCCCAATCCATGCCTTTGCCACTATCCTGTAAAGTTACAGTGCCATAAGAGAGACCTGACCATTTCAGTTTTCACAGTGATAATTTTGATAGATGAATTTGATTTCATTTTGGGGCATTGTAGCAGTTTAACTGTTGAATTTATCCCTCAAGGACCTACTATTGGTGAAAGTAGACACTACAGTGTATCACATATGGTGTATATTGTGCCTTAACGTGATACCACTTTTTCACCAGTTTATGTCAAACTTTGTGGTAAAATATATTTTTTCCATTTTTTACATACATGTTAAATTTTTTTTGGTAATTTTTCAAGTCTGGTATGTGCCACTGTGATCAAAATCCCATAATTATGCTCGGCAAACCTCTGAATAAAATAATACCCCCGATGTATGTCTTTTCCACTATCGTGTGAAGCTACAGTGCCTTAAGAGTCCTGACCATTACAGTTTTTACAATTAAAATTTTGATAAATGGATTTGATGTGTCTATATCACATTTTAGGGCATTGTAGCAGTTTTACAGTTAAAATTACCCCATAAATGCATACCATTTGTGAAAGTAGACACCACGAGCTATGTCATATGGTATATTTTGAGCTGTATTATAGTTATGTCAGCACCAATTTCTTTCAAATTTTATCATATTGTTTTATTTTTGCATTTTTATACGCACATGTATTTTAGTGGTTAATTTTGGAAACGTGATATATGCTACTGTAAATTAAATCACTAAATTATTCTCAGCTATATTTCCTGAGTACAAAATGACCCCTGTATACCCTAGCCAGGTTTTTGTGAAAAAATACAGGGCTAAAATCATACCCGGCCCAGTACAGTTTTTTAAAATGGCAAATTGACAATGGGTCTTTGTTTCCTTTTGGGGCATTTTAGTCGCTCATATATTTAAAATATGCCACCAATGCATACCATTTACAAAAGTGGACACCAAGTGGACTCTGACATAAAACATTATAAGCTTTATTGAAGTGACATTTTGTTACCATTTTGTTTCAAAGTTTGTAGTATTTATTTTATTTTAAAATTTTTACATACACAGTGTTTTTGATGCTTATTTTTTAAATCTCGTGTGTCCCACTGTCATAAAATTATTTTAGCTGTACTCAGCAACATCATCTCAGTACAGATATACCCCATATGTATATCTTTGGAAAGTAGCGATCTTAATTTTAATCCCAATCTTAATCCCTAATCCTAAACCAAGCCCTAATTCTAAACCAAATCCTAATCCCAAATCTAATAATAAACCCTTACCACAATCCTAACCCATAACCTAATCCCATGTGTAACCTGAATTATAACCTTAATCCTAACCTCAATCCTACCTTTAGCAATAGTGTTAAAATGATTCCCTCTGCTGGTGTCAGCAGAGGAATTTACTTTCTATATTCAGCAAGGGATGCCCGTACTGAGCCTAATCCTAATCTGAACCATAATCTGAATCCTAATCTGAAACATAATCCCAATACTACAATTAATTATAAACCTAATCTTAAACATAAACTTAACAATAAACCCAATAATAAATTTAGTACTTATTCTAAACCGAATAATAATCCTTAATTTAATCTTAATCCCAAAAGTTTCCCTCTACTAATATCAATACTGGATTTAGTAAAGGGGTTTTAAACTAAAATAGACAGTGGTATGTTGCTGCCATCTACTGGCTATTTTCAGTACTGCAGTCTCCCATCTCTTACATTGAAGACATTATGCCCAATGCAATGCGATCTGTCCTGGGCAACTGAAAATGCCCAGCACTGATCAGAATGGCATTGGGGCATAGAGGGTGACCCTCCAGCGTCTGTTCAGACCCTGGGGGTCTCCCAAGCACCAGATCACTTGAGAGAATGACACTAAAAATGGCCCAAGCTGACAGAGGGAAGCCCCAGGTATCTATTGAGATCTATGGTATCTATGGTGTGAGCAGAGATTTAACCCTACATTGCTGTCTATGGGTATTTAAATCCCCATTAAAAGAGCTGCTTGCCGACCTCACTTTTAGCTCTGCATGCAGCTCATCAAAAAGTCGAGGCCACTAAAAATGGCCCCAGCTGACAGAGGGGACCCCCAGATTTCTAATGCTACCTGGGTTTCCTAGTGTGAGCAGGGATTTAACCCTGCTCACACTGCTTTGTGCACTATGGGAATTTAAATCCCCATTTTCGTCATGCGTCCTTAAGTGGTTAATAAACAAATTAACACTTTCTTCAGTTGTTCAAATGTGATCATTTACTTGAATGCAAAAACAGGCATGGTACTCAAAACCAAAAACAAACATTTTAATGAAACAAATGTACAGCAATGCAAAGAAAAATCAGTATATAAACAGCCTTACCATATGGCACATGAGCCTTTACACATTGTTACTCACCACATGAGGATATTTGGCTATTTTAGACACCAATTTTGCTCGAGTTATGTAATATCTGCAGTAAAAAAAAAAAAAAAAAAATATGAGTTCAAGTACAAATTTACATTAATGACTTACGTTTGGTCATTTGGTAGCCCTTTTGAAATTGGAATTCACCTATCGAAATGTCAATGTATGTAGAAAACTGTAGCTGGTAATGTCACAAACGCACCCTACTTCAAGAGTGCGCGTGACGTAATTGTGGTGGTGAAAGGGTTAACGTTCACTATTTGTCTGCACTAGACTGGAAATAATGACAAAATCCCCCTTAACACCACCCACACTTTAACATAATAATATAACTATTACTATTTTACCGCTGCCACCACAAAGACAATTTATAAATGGGCAGCCCTCAGCTAAATCAATAATAAAAACCCACCAAATACAACTTGGCACAATATCTAAGCAATTGCAAAATACTAATTAGTCTCTTCAGGTAGCGTGATTCTTAACCAGACAAAGGTAGAACTTAATAAAGGAATATTCATTAGGAGCAAAAAAAAAATAGTCACTGTACAAACAAAAATATAGATGAAAAAACTATTTACACCAACAGATAAAAACAAAAGGGATAAAATAACAGAAGTCCTAAACACTTACTCACTTAGGTTTTCAAAGTAAAACTTCTGCCCAGTAGGTCTCCGGCACGGAAGATGGTGACATACTCAAAATTAGATTTTGCACACAAGCAAGTGCACAGACATTTCAGTATCATTGGATATATACCCTGTGGGTTACCACACCTGGTCTAGAGGTGGAGTTAAGGAATATCTATAGAGATAATGATTGTCCACCCTCTTGTGTTCCAGACCAACATCAATCCAAATGGAAACATTTGGTTCTATCTTCTCTTATGTACCTGCCACAAAAATAATAATTACATCTACTTATTTGTCATTATTTTCCCATTCTATAGATCTGTCTCACATCGTACTTGCGACCCAATATGTCTGACATCACAATTCCTTCCAATCATGTTTGGGCTTGTCACATTCCAAATGAAAAATAAATGAGGCTTAATTATTATGTGGGTAAATATTAAATGTTTTTTTCTTTTAGATATGATACTGGAACAAAGCTAATGGCTATTAACATATCAAAAAAATCCACTCATTAAAAGGTAGAGGCCATATGTCTGAAGAGACATTCAGGCTACTTATGTGCAACTTCTCACACCTTACAGAGCCTTTGATTAATTCACAGGCTTCATCCATATAGTAAAACCCTTTTCACATTCCAATGCAATTTCCATTACCCCATCTGTCATCTGACCTCTGTGGGGGGTTCCAACTCCAAAGAGAATTAAGGCTAAAAAAAAACAAACCAAAAAAATTCTGACCTTCCATACAATCAAATTAACCTATTTTGACATTGACAATACCAGCTCTACCAGGCAGGCAGATCATTAATGCACTACACAAATTAAAGGCCATTATTCCATAGTGCAATAATGAATTATGCCCATTGCAGTGACAGGTAAGACAAGGCAAATGTGACTTTATAGTTTCACAAAACATGTGTAACACTCAAAGAATAGTAAGGGTGCTCTTGGTGGCTACTCTAACTGCTGTACTTTTAATACTCATCAGAGAAGGTGTGATGGCATTTTTGTCATACAAAAAGCAAAGAGGTCAGTGGATAACAATGGAAATAAAACAAAAACAACATTGACTTATATCCAGACTTAAACAATTCTCTTCTTGAGACAAATGTGGTATCAGTACCATATACTGTATACAGGAAGCATCCTTACAGGCAGGTTTCCAGACAATGTGTTGTGTTTTAAGAGTAAATTTTGATTTACTTGACAAAAAACAAAACCAAAAAAAACCCACCAATCATAATAATAAACAAAGCTTTGTTAATATAGTATGGTATTTTTTCACATTTTCTATTACACTTACACAGCATGCCATCCCCGGTTTTTGGTCAAACTATTTCAGCATTTGACAAAAACCAGGCCTCTACACTGCAGTGAGATCCAATATAGGCCCATAAATTTCACTTGGATGACAATGATAGATTGTGAACTCTGGGCTGAAGCTAGACATTTAAGATTGGACAGCTTTAACCCCTTAAAGGACCACTATAGGCACCCAGACCACTTCAGCTTAATGAAGTGGTCTGGGTGCCAGGTCCAGCTAGGATTAACCCTTTCTTCTATAAATATAGCAGTTTCACAGAAACTGCTATGTATATAATAGGGTTAATCCAGCCTCTAGTGGCTGTCTCATTGATTTTCACAGTGAGAAGACGCCAGCGTCCATAGGAAAGCATTGAGAATGCGCATTCAGCCGATGACGTTGCTATGGAGGAGGAGAGTTCCCCGCCCAGCGCTGGAGAAAGAGGTAAGTTTAACCCTTTCCTCTCCATCCAGCCGGGCAGGAGTGGGACCCTGAGGGTGGGGGCACCCTCAATGCACTATAGTGCCAGAAAAACGAGTGTTTTCCTGGCACTATAGTGGTCCTTTAAGGACACATGACATGTCATGATTCCCTTTTATTCCAGAAGTTTGGTCCTTACGGGGTTAAAAACTGTTCGTGCAGAAGAAAAATCTGCAACATATTTTGTTTGTTTTTCCCAATTTATTTATAATTTCATATATTTTTTTCTAACACATAATACAATGTGCATCATACAGTAAAATGACAAACAATGTATACATAAATCACATATAGGCATTGGGCATGGTCCCTATACATATCAGAAAACATAGTTACATAGCTAAAAAGAGACTTGCGTCCATCAAGTTCAGCCTACCTCACATTTGTTTTTTGCTGTTGATCCAAAAGAAGGCAAAAAAACCCAGTTTGAAGCACAATTTTGCAACATGCTAGGAAAAAAATTCCTTCTTGACCCCAGAATGGCAGTCAGATTTATCCTTGGATCAAGCAGTTATTACCCTACATTGAAAGATTATATCCTTGAATATTCTGTTCTTGCAAGTATGCATCTAGTAGCCGTTTGAACATCTGTATGGACTCTGATAAAACCACTTCCTCAGGCAGAGAATTCCACATCCTGATTGTTCTTACAGTAAAAAAACCTTTCCTTTGCCTTAGACGAAATCTTCTTTCTTCCAGTCTAAACGCATGGCCTCGTGTCCTATGTAAAGTCCGGTTTGTGAATAGATTTCCACACAATGGTTTGTATTGGCCCAGAATATATTTGTATAATGTTATCATATCCCCTCTCAGGCGACGTTTTTCGAAACTAAATAGGTTTAAATTTGTTAACCTTTCTTCATAGGCGATATGTTCCATTCCTTTTATTAGTTTTGTAGCCTGCCTCTGCACTTTTTCTAGTGCCATAATATCCTTCTTTAGAACAGGTGCCCAAAATTTCACAGCATATTCAATATGGGGTCTTACCAGTGATTTATAAAGAGGCAAAATTATATTCTTGTCCCGAGAATGAATGCCCTTTTTCATGCATGACAATACCTTACTGGCCTTGGCCACTGCTGATTGACATTGCACATTGTTGCATAGTTTGTTGTCTATAACAATTCCCAAGTCCTTTTCGTGTGTTGTTATCCCTAATTCGCTTCCATTAAGGGTATACGTTGCTTGTGTATTCTTTACGCCGAAGTGCATAACTTTGCATTTTTCAACATTAAATTTCATCTGCCATTTGAGTGCCCAGTCCCCAGTCTATCTAAATCCCTCTGCAGCAAAGTAATATCTTGCTCACATTGTATTGTTTTACAAAGTTTTGTGTCATCTGCAAACACTGAAACATGACTTTCAATGCGGTCTTCAAGATCATTTATAAACATGTTAAATAGAAGGGGTCCCAGAACAGACCCCTGAGGGACACCACTTGCCACCTCTGTCCAGCTTGAAAATTTACCATTAATGACAACTCTTTGTACTCTGTTTTTAAGCCAATGTTCTACCCAAGAACAAGCATTTACATCTAGACCGATTTCCTTGAGTTTGAACACTAATCTATTGTGTGAAACTGTATCAAATGCCTTGGCAAAATCCAAATAGATCACATCCACGGCAACACCCTGATCTATACTTCTACTTACTTCTTCGTAGAACGCAATCAAGTTAGTTTGACTACCACGTCACTTAAACGCTGCGAGACCCTTAACTGCTTTAATTTATTCCATTCAAAAATGCATTAGTTATAAAATAGCTCTTTTAGGTTGCAATATTATTGGATAATAACCTTTTCTATAAGCTCTCTGTAAATGGTTGCATATGTATGACCCAGATGATAACTATATAGTTGCATACTTTTTTCCTATTTCCAATTGGAAAAGCAATTGCTTTATGAATAATTATTTTGTTGGAATTATTACTTGCTTCCAGTGCCTAACCATTAGTATTTCGGCTGCCATAATACTATAGGTAATCAGAATATCTTAATTTTTAACTCCTACCCTACTGTTCGTATTTAGTAGAGCGGTTTCGGGTTTTTAAATCAGCGATATACCGATCGTGTGTTATGATTTTGAATAATAAATCCCAGAATTGTACTATTCTAGAACAGATCCATCATATGTGGTACATGGTGCCCTCTTCTAAACATCTCCAACAAACTAGGGAATTAGAAGGGGAGATCCTAAAAAGCCTTGTTGGCACCACATACTACCTGTACATGACTTTTATAGGTCTCTAAGATATTGAAATAATGGATATGTTTAAGTTTTATAAGTAAAGAATCCCAGGTCTTATATTGTATAGAAATGGCTAGATCCTTTTCCTATTGCTTCACTGCTGTTGATTTCATTATAGGCATTTTCAAGCCTAATAATTTCATTGCTTTAGAATTTAGATAGTTTGAGATTTATACCGTTAAATGAATTTAAGTATGATCCCTAATTCTGGGTTTCCTGAAGAATAACAATAATACAAGTTTGTGCATTACAAGAAACACATTGGATAAAAACTAACATAATTATTAATCTATTAATTATCCACTAATAAGCGTGGCTCTGAAAAAAAAAAAGGGTGGCCTTTATGTTTGCCAAAAATATATCCATAAACATTTAATACCAAGATCTTGATAAAGAAGGAGGATACATCATCCTGATGTGCGAAATAAATAACTTTTTACATTAGCTAATATACACTGCTCAAAAAAATAAAGGGAACACAAAAATAACACATCCTAGATCTGAATGAATTAAATATTCTTCTGAAATACTTTGTTCTTTACATAGTTGAATGTGCTGACAACAAAATCACACAAAAATAAAAAAAATGGAAATCAAATGTTTTTAACCCATGGAGGTCTGGATTTGGAGTCACACTCAAAATTATAGTGGAAAAACACACTACATGCTGATCCAACTTTGATGTTATGCACCTAAAACAAGTCAAAATGAGGCTCAGTAGTGTGTGTGGCCTCCACGTGCCTGTATGACCTCCCTACAACGCCTGTGCATGCTCCTGATGAGGTGACGGATGGTTTCCTGAGGGATCTCCTCCCAGACCTGGACTAAAGCATTTGCCAACTCCTGGACAGTCTGTGGTGCAACGTGACGTTGGTGGATGGAGCGAGACATGATGTACTAGATGTGCTCAATTGGATTCAGGTCTGGGGAACGGGCGGGCCAGTCCATAGCATCAATGCCTTCGTCTTGCAGGAACTGCTGACACACTCCAGCCACATGAGGTCTAGCATTGTCTTGCATTAGGAGGAACCCAGGGCCAACTGCACCAGCATATGGTCTCACAAGGGGTCTGAGGATCCCATCTCGGTACCTAATGGCAGTCAGGCTACCTCTGAAGACCACATGGGGGGCTGTGCGGCCCACCAAAGAAATGCCACCCCACATCATTACTGACCCAACCAATGCTGGAGGATGTTGCAGGCAGCAGAACGTTCTCCACGGCGTCTCCAGACTCTGTCATGTCTGTCAGATGTGCTCAGTGTGAACCTGCTTTCATCTGTGAAGAGCACAGGGCGCCAGTGGCGAATTTGCCAATCTTGGTGTTCTCTGGCAAATGCCAAATGTCCTGCACGGTGTTGGGCTGTAAGCACAACCCCCACCTGTGGATGTCGGGCCCTCATACCACCCTCATGGAGTCTGTTTCTGACCGTTTGAGCAGACACATGCACATTTGTGGCCTGCTGGAGGTCAGTTTGAAGGGCTCTGGCAGTGCTCCTGTTCCTCCATGCACAAAGGCGGAGGTAGAGGTCCTGCTGCTGGGTTGTTGCCCTCCTACGGCCTCCTCCACGTCTCCTGATGTACTGGCCTGTCTCCTGGTAGCGCCTCCATGCTCTGGACACTACGCTGACAGACACAGCAAACCTTCTTGCCAGAACTCGCATTGATGTGCCATTCTGGATGAGCTGCACTACCTGAGCCACTTGTGTGGGTTGTAGACTCCGTCTCATGCTGCCACTAGAGTGAAAGCACTGCCAGCATTCAAAAGTGACCAAAACATCAGCCAGGAAACAGAGGAACTGAGAAGTGGTCTGTGGTCACCACCTGTAGAACCACTCCTTTATTGGGGGTGTCTAGCTAATTGCCTCTAATTTCCACCTGTTGTCTATCCCATTTGCACAACAGCATGTGAAATTGATTGTCACTCAGTGTTGCTTCCTAAGTGGACAGTTTGATTTTACAGAAGTGTGATTGACTTGGAGTTACATTGTGTTTTTAAGTGTTCCCTATTTTTTTGAGCAGTGTATATGCACCTAGTAAGTTTAGACAAATTTAACAGATTATGAAGAAAATTTATCAGATCAAACAGGGGGTGCTATTAATTATGGGTGATTTCAACTGTGTAATAGACTCTTTTAAAGATAGGAAGAACTATGATGGAAAAAAGATTAATAAAGGAACTTCCGATGGATTACAAAATTTGGAGTTGGACTTCACATGTTATTCAAAAACAAGGTCGCTGAGATGTTTTCACGCGGTTTGTTGATAATGAGGGGAGATATACATTTTAATCACAGACTTCGATCTTGATAGAAAAAACAACAAATTTTTTTAATTTCGATCTTAGACTTAAATCTAAAGCGGAGGCCTTTTCCCACTGTCTTTTTCGGCACAAGCTTTATGACATCTGGAGAGTGCAACATTCCGGGGAGAGAGATTATACTTTCTTCTCGGGAGTGCACTCTTTGTATTCTCGAATTGACCACTTCTGCACGTTGGGCCCCACTCTGGAAAGATTTTCTAGTTCCAGAGTGGGTAACATCTCATGGTCCAACCCTGCCCCAGTGTTTATATCTATTTCAAATAATCCTGACTATAAATTATGTAACAACTGGAGACTGAGTGAATATATTCTAACTACTCAGAACAGCAAACAAGATTTGATCGTCCAGGCCAAATCCTATCTGAATTACAATGACAACGGAGAGATTTCAGAATCGACACTCTGGTGCGCTATGAAAAGTGTTTTAAGAGGTCACCTGGTTAAGAAAGGTACATAGCTCAAAAAACAAAGGGGTAGAGACTTGGCTGAATGTTCTGCATCTCTGGCAGCACTGGAGAGGATAGAAAAATTTGACCCGGGGGCGGGGGTGGGGTTTACCACTAAGGAGCTACAGTCTGTTCGAGACCAAATAAGGAAAGGTCTTAAGATCAGCTCCGAAATGGCCCTATCAAGAGTGAAATGTCGCTGGTATTCTAGTAATAGAGTAGGTAAAGAACTGACAAAAAAAAAAAAAGCTTAAAATTTAACAACCAGCACTCAAGAATAATAAAAAAAAAATTCATGAGAAGAAAACTTGTATATCCCACAGACAGATTGCTGAAGCTTTTTTCGATTATATTATGAGTCTTTATATAACTTACCACAACCTACAGCTTCTACTTTAGACACATCCCAATTTTTAGATGCCCTTCACCTTCCAAAACTCTCCAGCCACAAATTAGATCTTCTTAATCAACCCATCCTCAACCTTGAAATAAGTAATGCTATTAAAGGCCTAAAGCTCTTTTTAACCAGATACTCAGCCTAGTGGTTACTCCTATCCTGGGATGGGTTTTCAACTCAATAGTCCACTCTCGTGGATTTCCAACAGAGATGCTGGAGGTGAGTATCACTCAAATTCTGAAGCCAGGGAAGGACCCCTCTTCAGTTAGTAATTACAGACCAATATCACTGATTAATTTAGATATTAAAATCTACGCTAAAATTCTAGCCCAGAGACTAAATACAGTGATATTGGATTTGATCCACCCCAACCAATTAGGCTTTATGCCCATGAAATCGGGGGAGGAGAATACCCGCAGAGTCTTTAACATCTTGGACGCAATACAGCAGAGGACCCTGTCTACTAAAAAATAAATTTAAATTTAGTATTTTCTCCCATTTTTTTAATATTTTATTCATATTAAATTATGTTTCATACCTAAATATTTGATGTTAAGTGAAAGCCCTGTTTCCCCCCCGAATAAAATGATATATAATAAGTGTGGGTGCACATAATATGGAAGAGGTGAATTACGCCTGAATAGACATATAGCGCAATTTCAAGTTTTTGTTTTGATCACAACGTGTACATTTGGCTCAGTCCTTAAGGGGTTAAATATGCATATAAATGGAAAACACCTATACAGACATAAATTTGAAGGTTTGGAGGAATATTATACTCTCTCCAGTTTTCAAAATAGAAAAGAGCAATTGCTCGTTATTCATATATTCAATGGTTGCATTTAAGGTGTATGGTTTAGTGTATTTTGTCACTTATACGGACAAACATAGACATGAAAAATATATATTTGCCATCATTACAGGGTGAGTAATATAACCCAATACATACCAAAACCTAACAGAAAATAGGAAAAAAGGATATAAATGCCTATCCGTGACAAATAATTAACCACTAATTAAACCATCAGCGTGGCCAGCCTCACAACTAGCCATTGCAGAGATACTTTCAACAGCCCAAAATACCACAATAATAAGTGAAGCTGAATTACTATTTCCAGTGCATAGCATTTATGGCCTACATGTGTGATAAAAATCAAACCAACTGCTGGTTTACACAATGCCCGGAATCCTCCAGGTGTGATTGAGATGCCACCATTTCGTTCTAAAGCCATACACACACACACACTATGAAGCCTAGCCTCTGTGCACCGCACATACTGACTAATGGAAAACTGATAAAGTCAGTTTGATCTGATTGTTGCACCATTGTAGTGGGTGCAGCTCATTTCAGAATGGAAACAAAAAAAATCATATATAAAACTGTCTTCATATTAAGTAGCCACTTGAACTTATTTTAAAGCACAGGCCTGGTATAGCTACTCCAGCGACAACTATAATAATTTTGCCCTGCTGGGCTACGCAGCAGACCCTTGTGGTGTAAGACAGGGTATCTCAATAAATTGGTGAGGTGTAAAAAAAAAAAAAAAAAAAATCCAGCCATGAAAATACTGAAACCTGGTTTGATTAAAATATAAATTACCTCTTAAAGGAGGACAAACTGGAAGTTAATATTCTAGTTTTAGCCCAACTCATCGAAGTAAGAACAAACATAGATATAAGGATGCGCCTAAAACTTGATAAAATAAAAGACTAAATTAGTCAGATAAAATACAGAATAAAATAAGTAATAAAACAATAGTCCAATAAAATAGGCTTATCACAGTCCGTGAGGGTAGGTCCCACTTGTAAAGGAATATTCTTTAGGGTGTAGGTGGGATCGTATCTTCAAATGTTGAGAATTCAGCATATGTGGAGAGAAAAATCAAAACAGGACTCCAATGGCACAGTAAATCGGTGTATAAAATAAATATTAAAGGTATAAAATCAGTCTTACTCACACTTTTCAGAGCTAGGATCAGCTCTGATATTGCTCGCGTAAAGTGGAATAATCCCCACTTCAAGGATATATGGAGTAAATTTTGATTGTTGAATATCTGACGTGGGTTCAGCGTTCAATTTGACGTAATACGACCCAGAGGAAAAAATGAAATAAAATATATAGTGCTCACCGTATGTAATAAAATTAGAAGAAAGTAAAGTATACTACTCGCGTAAAGTAGAGCAGACTCAAAACTGCTCAGTGAAGGCGCTCAGGTGGTATAATCCCCACCTATGGATTCTTTGCACTTCCTGCAGGGTGAGCCGTATACGTAAAAACAATAAAAGAAAATGTATGTAAAATCAGGTAAAGGAAAAAGCAAATGGCAATAAAGTATTTTATGCCAATAAAATATCTTTATTATAGAGTTAAGAACAAAATCTATTAATTTCTAAACGCGTTTCGCCTTAACAGGCTTCTTGAACTCTATAATAACTCTATAATAAAGATATTTTATTGGCATAAAATACTTTATTGCCATTTGCTTTTTCCCTTACCTGATTTTACATTCATTTTCTTTTATTCTTTTTACGTATACGGCTCACCCTGCAGGAAGTGCAAAGAATCCATAGGTGGGGATTATACCACCTGAGCGCCTTCACTGAGCAGTTTTGAGTCTGCTCTACTTTACGCGAGTAGTATACTTTGCTTTCTTTTAATTTTATTACACACAGTGAGCACTATATATTTTATTTCATTTTTTCCTCTGGGTCGTATTACGTCAAATTGAACGCTGAACCCACGTCAGATATTCAACAATCAAAATTTACTCCATATATCCTTGAAGTGGGGATTATTCCACTTTACGCGAGCAATATCAGAGCTGATCCTAGCTCTGAAAAGTGTGAGTAAGACTGATTTTATACCTTAATATTTATTTTATACACCGATTTACTGTGCCATTGGAGTCCTGTTTTTATTTTTCTCTCCACATATGCTGAATTCTCAACATTTGAAGATACGATCCCACCTACACCCTAAAGAATATTCCTTTACAAGTGGGACCTACCCTCACGGACTGTGATAAGCCTATTTTATTGGACTATTGTTTTATTACTTATTTTATTCTGTATTTTATCTGACTAATTTAGTCTTTTATTTTATCAAGTTTTAGGCGCATCCTTATATCTATGTTTGTTCTTGCTATCTGTTATCATTAGGGGATTATTGGGGACTCCCCTTTGAGTATTGCTGCCTTTCTTATAATTTTAATGTGGCAATTTAGCGCTGTTTTTTTTTTTTTTTACTCTCTCCTCCCCTCTTTTTCCAACTCATCGAAGTTGGCTGACAGTTCCCAATTCAACATGGCCATGCTGGAAGATGATATAAATTTGATGTGACCCAGGGAAAGTGAGTGGAGGTTATTAAAAGAAACTAGGAAAACAATATGCTCACTATGGACATAATGTAAAAATTAAAAGCTGTGAATTTTTAATTGCAGGAAGTCTGGGTTTCATAAGAGACAGGAATACACATCCTAAAATTGTTATATGTACAGTCAAAAATATAAACTTGGGAAGAAGAAACAAAAAAAACCATTTGATTGCTTCAAGGGAGGAACTACACCTATTATCCAAAGCACAGCTAAGATGGAACTTCGAAATCCACAGAAGGACTCACAAGCTGCTGCTTGAATGCTCAGAGGCTGACTTGGTAACAGTCATAGAAAAGAAAGAGATGGACTCCAAGACAACCTAGTGCACAAGTACCAGAATCCTTTCTTTTCACCTGACTTGAATCTGACATATCAGAAATGTGAAAAGGGGAATCAATTAAATGTAGGTGTAACTCAAGTGTATGACAATGACATTTTAAGCCTTATAAAACCAGGCCAGCACATAAAAAAAAAAAAAAGAAAACAGTTCATCCATAAAAGCCCTGGAATTCGATTTAAGATACAACTTTCATAAGTAGAGTAAAACTAGATCCAAAATTTAGATAATTTACAGGAAGGTAAATTGTCAGACTAACAACTCTGGTCTTAATGCTGCAACGACTATGTTATATGAATTATAATCTCAAGGGTAAACAATATTTTACCTCATTAAACCATTTCCTGCATCAACTGTGGATAAGCATAGGTTAAAATAAAATTCCACCAGTAATTTATATTGGCAGCAAATAGAGTTAAAACAACCATGATAATGGTCAAACTATAGAGGAATTCACTTTGTCCAAGGAAAAACCCAAACTTTTAGATAATAAAGCTTATTTGGGTAGGTCCCTCTTCACCTACCGTTCCTGTATGTCAAAACAGGTTTTTTTAAGGATTATTTGAGTTGACTTATTGTACAGTGCGACAGAATATGTTGCACTATATACATAACTGTAATTGAATCTTTGTAAAATTTACAATCAGGGATATTATATACCCAGTACGTATACCTCACTAGTCTAACTGAAACAAATGTTTAAAGGCAAGAAAAAAACAAAAAAAAACACAGGTGGTCTGAACACTGCCCACAAACATGCAGTAAGGCTGAACATAGGTGGGCCTGAGCATTGCACACAAATGGGCATTTAGGTTGTACATACATGGATAATTTTTATCAAAACAGAAGATAACTTGCACATGCATTGGCTGGTAGAGGACATTAATCACAACCTGTGTGTACATTTCCTTTCTGTTATTGGAAACACAGAACAACCTGTACATGTGTTCCACAATGTGGTTGGCTTTCACAGGCATTAGAGGAAGCCCAGCATACACAGGGTACAGCCTTTTCCTTCATAGATAAGCCAGCCTTGGAAATTTGCCTTGAATTTTTGTACAAGCTTGCTGACACATAAACCACTATGTGCTTACCTTAAACGTGCTTCTGCCTTCTATTTGGATAATGAGGCTATAAGGAATTGGTTGCCTAATTGTCTCTGTTTGTTGGACAAATTGGCAGAACGCACAGAGGCTAATGCGGCCTGCATCTGGCAGACACATATCCAAATAAACTTATTTAGGAAAAAAAGAGGAACTATTAAGATTAAAGCTATAGGGCTCACCCTAATAAGCCTCTGGTGTGCTGGAGGGCTGGTGAGAGCACACTGGTAACTAATCTGAAACACACCCAGTGGCCAGGTAGTTACTGCTGGGTTTAAGTATCCTGTCATTAGGCTCCAAATTCAAGAGTTTTCACAAGGTGCCGACATCGCTTTGTGCACGTGCATAGCATTCTGCGATCCGTAAGTGGAATGCAACAACACCCCATTGTGTTATCAACATATGGAGCCTGCCAGCTGTGTGTACAGACGCACATTCGCCTCTTCCGTCACCCGGCACGGATTGAGCGGAATGATAAATGAGTGAAATACAGGAGCCAGTCGTGTGTACATATCCTATGATAATTGAAGGACAAGCGAACTGGATAAGCAAACCTTTTAAAAGGAAGACGGAGCCCTCCATGAGCCGCATTCCCCTCACTACGTCTATCCAAAACACAAAAAAGGTGAATAGCTTCACCAATTCTGCCAAGGGAAGGCAAAGCTCTGCTACCTGACCTGTCTCTCGCGAGGGAGCTCAGGGTGGAGTTGCCCTTTATAAGGCTAGGAGTGGAGGAGACTGGGGTTGGGGCTGCATTTTGTTTTAACCTTTTCAATGCTACCTGTCCTGTGAGAAATGGGCAACTACATCCCACTTGTCATGACTGCCGCTTGGAAAATTATGCTTCAAAATTACACTGGTGCCCCCTATTGAGGTTGTATAAGAGTATTATTTAATTAATGCATTTAGGTAGCTTGCAGTAGCTTTTTTCCTTTCTCTTTTTTCCTCACTGTTTTCGTTTTCAAATATATAAATTCCTATGCCAGTTATATGCGTATAGCACCCTACTCAAGGGTTAGGATTAGATTTGTATTGACTATAGATCTTGTATTATAGTTTAAACATTCTCAGAGGTAAATTATTTCTTTATAGAGGTTTCAACTATTACTATTTCCTAGCAAGAATTTAACAGAATCCCAATACAGTGCTGCATACTCATACTTTAGTTGGCTATTACCTTGTTGCAAAGAGGACTTTAGAACAGTACGAGCCGTTTACTGCAATGGGTACCTTAGTGTATGACGTTTTTGCCGCAAATCCCCCAAGTTCCAATCTCTGTTGTGGGCGGGTTAATGGAGTCTGTGGCGGTCTGCTTTACAGATTCCCCTTTTCTCTTTCCTCCACTTCTATCTTCACCGTTATTCTTTCAGCTTCCAGCTGCTCCACAACCCTCGTCAGCTTTGTATTCGCAAGTGCAAGTCTCTATCTCCGTCCCTCGTATCTCACCACTAACTCTCTCTCGTAACTATCTCCTACCTTCCCCTCCTGGCGTGCGCGTGCCTACGCCCTTACGCCTGACCCCAAATATGCAACATATTTTGATGTGCTACAAATAGGCAGGGTTTTGGGTGTCATATTAAATCTGCAGTAATTTAATATGAAGTCTGAACACAAAAGAGGTCTTTGCTCATTGTATGTATTCTTACAAACGATTTGAAAGAAAAGGTCAGGGATCAGCTCTCAAACATCCACAACAGCATAACAATAGGCTCTAACACCACAAAACAACAGCAAAATGCATACCTAGATATCTGGTCAAGGTATGAGGCTGCCTCACTCTCCACTGTCCGTAGTTCTGCCACGGTCTCCTCCTTTAAAAAAAAAAAAAAGTTATGACAAGTAACTCATTACCAGCAATACTAGCTGTCAATGGAACAAAATGACTTTCTTCCTGCCTGCTCTAGTTTTCTTTAAAACATAAGACAAAGTAGAGTTTATTTTGTCTTATGTATTTTTCCTACGCTTGACCAGCTATGACCCAGGGGAGGAGTAAAGTCCGTTCCATTTCTTGAAGTCAAAGCAATTTTCCCAGAATTCTCAGCTTCCTCCTGCTGCTTCATTCAATGTTAGGACGAAATTCGGTAGTTTCACTGGCGTTCTAACAGAATGAGAACAGTTTGTCCATTCGTGTTAGGACGAAATTCTGGACTTTTGTTCGGAATTTATTTGAATGAATGAAACTCCAATCCTATTCATGCCGCGAGTAGATAGCTCCCAATTCCCACGGTATTAGGGAGTGGTCTACTAAATGGCTGAAAGACCTAAATTGGTCTTTTAGCCAAATTTACTAACACTAAGTAAATATTACTTAGTATTGGTAATACATCTGCCCCTACTCGCATGTCTACTAAACAATGAGCAGCCAGTGGCTGCTCACTGTTGTAAAAAACATGCCTCACTACTTTAATAAAGTGCCCCTTAATGCCACTTTAACAGATAGCAGAAACATATGAAGTTTTTTTTCCCTAAACAGTGAACTGTGGAGAATTGACAAGATAATTACAAATACTAAGCCATAAGGGTGAGCTGGTTACATTTCAAAACGGACTGTTTTGGCATGATCTTTGCTATTCCCTCATTGGCTCTAATAATTTCAGTTTTATGAAACAACTCCAAACTTTCTTTCAATACAGGAGTCTGGTGATATGTAACCCTATAAGCATGAGAGTAATAGGAGTTACAGTGCAGCAACAAATGAACCACTGATGGTCTTATCCATATCTTTGAGTTCAACTGGGGTATTTTGTATTTCTGCAAGAAACAAGAAGCTGATACGCTTACAGATTGTGTTTGTAGCAGGTCTCAATGTGTGCTCATTGCCCCTTGTCTCTCTATATGATTGGGCATTCAACGAAAGACCTGCTAGTCTAATTATTGACAAGAACACGACATTATCAATCGCATGTGCCAAATTCATGCAGCATCTGTTTTATCTATTTCACAGTTACAGGCCAATGGTTTAAATGATAGAGGAGATGGGATTTTTTAATATATTTTATTTTTAATCTGTATTTCAATCTAGCTTGATGCAAAGACCATAAATTGATCCTTGACATATAGGTATGCCTTTTTTTCTCTTTCACAAATGTGATCTGGACAAATATTTTGTTCGCAATGACCTGCACTGCCAAACTCATTGAAAGGCTTATGAATAATACTTAGTGACTGAGACAGGTTAAATCTCAAAAGCGCATGAACTAGTATTTGTTGCTAAATTATTGTAGCACTACACATAACAGGAGTAAAATATATTGTGTTAATTTATTATTATACGTTTTTGGTTACGCAGCTTCTGTCCTCAGGGATTTCGGCGGGTACCAGGTCAAGCAGCGTGATTTGAGCAAAGATTGCCCAGCTGTGTTCAGCCATTCACTATAGCTGTTTTGGTCAGTCTAGGATCTCTTGTGGACTCGAATTAAGTCCCTGTATATAAAAATGTTTGATATAAGATCTATTTTAGCTTGTGTAATGTCAATAGGCCACTTTTTAAAAGTACAAAAAACTAAAAAATATACAGCAACAAAAATTAACCTGGGGCAGAGGAGGAGCAGGGAGAGCCTTTGGTGGTAATGTAGCAATTAAAGCGGCACTGTCATGCCGAATTCTGGTTTTTTTTTTTAACCCCTCTCCCGCCTCCACTACATCCAATTGACCCACTAGTCACCCCCAAATGCCCCTAAGCCCCCAGCATTACCTATTTTTTAATCCTTATTTTCTGCCCCGATCTATATTCAGGGCGCAGCCATCTTTGTGTGGGTAGGTGAAGTCCCTCAGGGACACGTCATCAGCCCACACTAGGCAGACTGTGAGATTCCCGCACATGCCCAGTGAAACACCTGGACATGCGAACGGGAATTTCAGCTATTCATTCATTCATCAGACAGACGAATGAGTGAATAGAAATATCAGCCGAACAAACTAACACAATGTATCAGTGTTAGTTTGTTCGTGCAGTTTATTACAAGGAGGGAGCTACCGGCACGCAGCTCCCTCCTTGTAATATGTAACTATAGAAGCGGCAGGGAGCAGTGCTCCCCACCACTTCATAAGCCCCCCAGGTCCCCCTCTCACTCTATGGGGGAGATTAAAATCTCCCAAATGCCCCTACTCGCTATACCGCGAGTAGGGGCATGTCCACTAAACAGTGAGCAGCCTGTGGCTGCTCACTGTAAAAAAAAAAAACAACTATGGGCCCCCACGCCTAAACAGTGAGAATGGGGGGGGGCAGTACTCCCCCACCCTGGGCGGCGGTGGGGGCCATAATGAGAATGGGGGGGACGCACCAGCTGCCCCCCACACCCCACCCCTGGGCGGCAATGAGGGGGCCTACTGCCCCCATTACCCTGGGCGGTGGTGGGGGCCATAAGCCAGAGAATGGGGAGGGCAGTACTCCCGCCCTGGGTGGTGGTGGGGGCCATGTGAGATGGGGGGGACCTACTGCACCCCTGGCCCCACCCTTGGAGGCGGTGGGGGCCATATCAGGAATATGGGGGGACCTACTGCCCCATTCTGGTGGTGGGGCCCTAAGAACCCCCAAGCCATCCAATCACAGTGCTCTGTGTCATTTTACACACCGTGGGAAAATTCAAAAGAACTTTCCCACGCTGTGTAAAATGACACAGAGCACTGTGATTGGATGGATTTCAAGCCATCCAATCACGGTGTTCTGTGTCATTTTACACAGCGTGGGAAAATCCAAAAGAACTTTCCCACGCTGTGTAAAATGACACAGAGCACTGTGATTGGATGGATTTCAAGCCATCCAATCACAGTGCTCTGTGTCATTTTACACAGCGTGGGAAAGTTCTTTTGAATTTTCCCACGCTGTGTAAAATGACAAAGAGCACTCTGATTGGCTTAAACCCACCAATCAGAGTGTTCTTAGCCTAATTGCAGGGCGGGGCAAGGCTTTATAAGCCTTCCCCCGCCCTGCGGAGCTCTCCATGGGTGAAGATGGATTATTTTTTTGCGGTCGGGTTTTTTTTTTTTGCTCTGGATTTTTATTTTATTTTCAATTCGACGGTTATGATGGTTTTTTTATTTGCCCTTTTTTGGGGCTGAAAAAGAAGATTTGATTAAACAGAAGACGTCGAATGGTAAGTTTAATTTTATTTTACAGGTTAGTTATTTTATCCCCCCCTCACTATTTTTTAGGGTGAGGGGGGTAGGTAGGGACTTTTTTTTTTGGGTGGGGTGTGGGTGACTAGGGGCTTGGGGACCCCTAGTCACCTTGGGTGGGGGGGGGTAATTGACTTAGGGCCCCCACCCGCCGCCCAGGGGTGGGGGCCGGGGGCAGTAGGTCCCCCCCCATACTCATTATGGCCCCCACCCGCCGCCCAGGGGTGGGGGCCGGGGGGGGCAGTAGGTCCCCCCCCCCATTCTCATTATGGCCCCACCCGCCGCCCAGGGGTGGGGGCCGGGGGGGGGAGGACAGTAGGTCCCCCCCCCTCATTATCTTCATGGCCCCCACCCGCCGCCCAGGGGTGGGGGCCAGAGGTCCCCCCCCATTCTCATTATGGCCCCCACCTGCCGCCCAGGGGTGGGGGCCAGGGGGGGAGGACAGTAGGTCCCCCTCATTATCTTCATGGCCCCAGCGCCGCCAGGGGTGGGGGCAGTGGGATCCCCATTCTCATTATGGCCCCCACCCGCCTGGGGGCAGTGGGTCCCCATTCTCATTATGGCCCCACCCGCCGCCCAGGGGTGGGGGCCGGGGGGGGGAGGACAGTAGGTCCCCCCCCCTCATTATCTTCATGGCCCCCACCCGCCGCCCAGGGGTGGGGGCCGGAGGTCCCCCCCCATTCTCATTATGGCCCCCACCTGCCGCCCAGGGGTGGGGGCCAGGGGGGAGGACAGTAGGTCCCCCCCCTCATTATCTTCATGGCCCCCACCCGCCGCCCAGGGGTGGGGGCAGTAGGTCCCCCCCCATTCTCATTATGGCCTCCACCCGCCGCCCAGGGGTGGGGGCCGGGGGGGGTAGTAGGTCCCCCCCCCTCATTATTGCCCCCACCCACAGCCACAGGCTGCTCACTGTTTACCAGACATGCCCCTACTCGCAGTATAGCGAGTAGGGGCATTTAATTTACTAATACTAAGTAACCTTTACTTAGTATTAGTAAATGTGGCTGAAAGACCAATTTAGGTCTTTCAGCCTTTTAGTAGATAACTCCCTGATACTGTGGCAAGATGCAGCCACAGCAATGAATAGGATCGGAGTTTCATTCATTCGAATGAAATTCCAATCCGAATAAAGTGCCGAATTGCGTTCTAAAAGAAACGAACAGACTGTTGTCATTCAGTTAGAACGCAATTCGGCAGTTTTGTGTAAAGCATCGTGGGAACACAGAATTGCGTTCTAAAAGAAACGAACAGACTGTTGTCATTCAGTTAGAACGCAATTCGGCAGTTTTGTGTAAAGCATCGTGGGAACACAGAGGGAAGGTAAGGATCATGGGAAAATTGCTCTGACCAGCGGAAATGAAGCACACTTTGCTCCTCCGCTGGTCAGAGCTGGTCAAGCAGAGGAACCCTCCATAAGGCAAAGAGTCCCTTACTTTGTCTTATGATTTTAAAGAAAACTAAAGAAGACAGGAAGAAAAGAATAACAGATCCTGAGAGAGGGGGAGAAGAGGAAGAGATTGAGGAAAGGTAAGTTCGGCATGACAGTGCCGCTTTAAAAAAAAAGTTATGGATTATTGGCATTGCTTATAAAATACTGATTGTACCTGGATGGACACTCCGAAATTGTTACCATCTTCTATCCTTGGGATAAGCAGCTGAACCCACATTTTTACCTAAACAGCAAAACAAAACAAATACATTTGTATGTACATACAACAAGATCACAACACAATCTTTAACCGGACAATAAGCACCCATACATCTTAAAGCTAAACTGTCACTTCTCTGGTGGTACCATTGAAATAAACATTGAAAATCATTTATAACTTGTGTAAATCTTTTTCCATGTGATTCACTATTTTCTTTCAAAATTTATATATTAAAAATGTCACTCCATGCATCTACAAAATTTAACTGCGTTTTACATTCATATTGATGCAGTATTTTTCTAAACTTTCAAAATCTTTAATTTATCTAAAAAAAATAAATTAATTTAAAAAAATAAAAATAAATCAGGCTTTCTGCAGTGTAACTCTACCTCCATACTACTTTTCACAAAGCAAATTCCTTATCACACAAACTGAGGATGGATTCAACTAAGCTAAAGAGTCAGTGTTAGCAGACTTGCTCATCCGTCAATGACTATCCACTTATTAAGCACAGCATTGAAACTTGTACAGTGTTTCAGAAGATTACAGCAATTGGCTATGATTTGAACAGGATGAAAAATGCAGCATGAATAGAAGGCTTAAATCTCACAATTGCATTTAATAAGACACTCTTACCCATATAGAGACATTACCCAAATACAGTAAAAACAATAAAATAAAGTCTATTTAGTAGATATACCCCAATGAACAAACATGCATTTATACATCGTGGTCTCGAAGAATGCAGTTCTAGGACCAACTAAGATACTGCTTAGAACCAGTCTCCCATGCCTGGTTTCTGGTCACTGATCCTTTTGGATCATAGCTCATGCTTTGGTTTAAAAGAAGCAATGTTCAACAAAGTGTCCATTACAAAGGGTATCTGCAGTAATTTAATATGAAGTCTGAACACAAAAGAAGTCTGTGCTCATTGTATGTAAAACTGGGAACATAGAGGAGCATTTGATTGGACCATTCAACAAGCTCTGCATGGTCTCTGAGCCAGGTAGGAGAGGAAGGGAATTAAAAGAGATGCAACGGGCACACAGGGCGCCTCTCGGCACTCCCTCACTGGCCTGCTAGCAGTGTAATGCTGGCAGCCGGCAGGAGGGGGAGCTCTAACCTGCAGCTCAGCCAGGTTCTCCTCTCACGAGCTAGGGGCGTTGTTGCGGTTACCACAACAACGCTCTGAATCTCGCGAGAGTGAACTCTAGCCTGAGCTGCCGGCTAGAGTTCACTCTCACCACTAGGACCAACAGGGATTAGTACTGTCCACCCTCCCAGGCAAATGGGACATTACCCCCTCATACAACCTGCCCCCCACACACAAACTACACACCCCCCCACCCCACACACATACTACACCCCACACACACACTCACTGCACTCCCCCCACACACACACACACACTGCACCCCCACACACACTGCACTCCCCCCACACACACACTGCACTCCCCACACACACACACTGCAATCCCCCACACACTACTGCCCCTATCCCCTACTACAGCCCCTTATCCCGACAGATCCCAGGTAAGTTGTCAAACCGTTCTTAAGCAGTTTCACTACTTACCCTGGGAAGGCACTATGGCACCATAACCACCTCAAAGTGCTGTAGTGGTTATTGTGTCTGGATTGTTTCTTTAAATAATCTACTAGTGACCCTCCCAAGATTAGATTGTGGATATATGCTCAAACAGGGGCCCAGTATATGCCACTGCGCTGCACATATACAACTTAGAAAATTGTTTCGACTTGGGGCACCTTGGAAAAATATTGAAATATTAAGAGCGCCTTGAAAGTTTGGGAACCACCGTTATACAATTAAATACACAATTAAATTAAAGGGAGAACAAGCATACAAAAATGAATGTCATTTTTTAACTCACCGTGTTGCATTTTTCAATGAGAAGCCTAATTTCAGGCTTCACCTTCTCAATGATCTCTACCAACTGAGCATTACTTTTAAGCATTCCATTGGGCATCACAAAAACTTTGGTTCCTGTAAAAATTGCATTTAAAAATAAATAAATATAAAACACTTATTACAACTTGGCAACATGTCAAGACAACAGAAATCCACTGGTGAGCTTGTGTGGGACGTGTGGTGATGGTGGTTGGGGGGCATAATGATGACTGCTGCAGTACTCTAATTACCTGAATATGAACACATAAAATTTGGAGGACACTAAAGACAGAGGTAACATGGAACTAACAGATAGTGATATACATAACCGGAAAAATTTGAAATTCACTTTGAATGCTTACTTAAGTAAATACATCTAATATAGGGCTTGCAAGTAGTAACATGTAAAGGATAAAACTAGAATTAAAAGAATAATTGGACAATTAAGGAAGAATCAGGGATTTGGGGATAAGGAAAGGGAAAAAAAGAATAAAACAAAACCAGTGAAAGAGGGAGAAATTATAAAACAAATAAGAACTATGCATACAAATACATCCAATTATATAATTAGCATGGAATTGTGGGGCTACATATTTCACAAGTGTTCAGTAATTGGCTCTTGATGCTCGGTATTCCATCTAAAAGGAAACTAAACCTTATTATGAGAGACCATTTTTCTTGGTGACATTGCCTCAATTCACAGACAAATAAAACTTTTCTCTCAAGTACGTTTAGTATGTATGTGTATTTCCACCTTTTTGCAATGCAGATTTTTGCTTCTGTACATATTTTGTGGCAGAGTGAGAGCAACAAAGAAAGCAACCTGGTATTAGAATGAGCTTAATTTATAGTGCCAGTATTGGATCAGGAGTAATGCTTATCTATAAGTAAACAGAATACCATTTAAAAAAACGCTTACATCCAAAAATCAGCTACATTATTGCATTGCTACGAGATAACATACAATGCTCTCATGGAACATCCACTTGGACAGATTGGGGATCGACTTGTGCAAATGTGCAACAATCTTTCTGGGTCTATACACATTTGTATCCATTTTATGACAAGTAGTAAATATCCTGCCCCAACAGACTCCCTATCTAAGTCGCGTTTCAAGAGAAACTGGAATTTATCATTCCCACGTACAAGGTTATTCAGCAAAATCTTAATTACCGAAATAGAGCACTTTTTCAAGTTATTTAACTTATACAAGCACTCAGACTGTTTTGATGGGTGGGGGGTGGGTGGGAGGCTCTCTCTACAGACTGGCATACATTTCAAGAAATTTAGAATGTGTGTAAAGTTCATCTTTGACAAAGGCATGATTAGCTTTTGTTGTAAAGTCTCCACAGTTGGTGGGAGTCCCAAACATGCAATATCCTCTACTATTATCAGTCAAGTTGTCAACCACCAACCACTCTATTGCTAATACTAGAGGTCATCAGAGTGTCACTGGAAGTCAACCTGTCTCTGACAGTGCACTTCCTCCAGGGAGAATAAGTTGAAGGTTTTAAAGTATTCACAGAGCGGTTTCCTGCAGTTTTTGCCTTTCTTTAAAGAACATATTCCTTAGTCAAAATATTTTTTTCTTTTTTTGCAAACATTTATACTTCACTGCTCCTTGGTGAACATGTCACGTGTACCGGTTTTCTTTTTTTGCACGTGAACGAAAGACTCTGGCCAGTGTGATACAACAACCATTTAGACGTTGTAGCTTTGTTAACTGCATTTTTTCTTACTTGCCTTTGTATGGTAAATATATGTTGCACACATGACCCTGCAGGCTCACTGCTAAATTCTCTGCAATTTAGGAGTTTTATCACTTTGTTTATACAGCCATAATCACACCTCCTTCCATGTGACTTGCACAGATTTCCTAAACCCTTCCTGTGAAGAGTAATCTAATGTTTATTGCACATTCTGTTTAATTTAGAATGTCTTATCTCCTGCTCTGTTAAATAGCTTTCTATACCATTTAGGAGCCTCCTGTGTGAGATTAACGCTCAATTTACAGAGCAGGTGACAAAAACGGCTAAAATTAAAACAGCCAGGAGAGGTGTGGCTAAAGTTGCATAAACAGAAACATCCAACAATTTAACTCTTAAATGGCAGATAATTGAGCGGACAATTTGCAGGGACATGATCTGCACACCAAACGGCTTAATTAAGCTAAAGTTGTTTTGATAGTTTCCTTTACGTGGTAAAAGTGACTGATTGAAACGACTGGAGTTTGTTTTTTTTCCTTTTGGGAGAAGTTCCTCAGTGTTTGGACATCCCACAAAAAAAGTATATTTGCTCTGCATGGAGACACTGAATGCTCCCTTATAGAGATTAATTAAATACATCTCTGAGTAGATACTGATTGGTGCACAAGGTGTTCTGCAGCACATGCACAATAGCCTGCCAATGCTTTCCTATAAGAAGGCATTGGATTTGCTGACATCATCAAGACCAATACAGCAATGGAGAAAAGGTAAATAAAACAACCTTTTTAGTGAGGGGCCAGGGACCTAAAAGCTAGTCCAACACTATAGTGTTAAATTAAAAAGTGCATGATAAAAATTCTAAACATTTCTAATTTGCTAAAAATTTAACCACATTAAGGACCAAACTTCTGGAATAAAAGGGAATCATGACATGTCACACGTCATGTGTCCTTAAGGGGTTAATTTCTATGTAAACAGTTTATTTAATTTTAAACCACAAATTTCCGTACATGCCATGTAGTTTCCCTAGTAAACAATTAAAACTGAAAATTGCAGTACACTCAATAATTAAGTAAACAGACATCAAAATCTCAAAAAATAAAACGATGTGTAAACACTGACAAATATTACCTGTGAATGCATCATCTCCATCTTCCAATTTCCTCTTCTTTAAATTTGGCTGCAAAAATGAAATGAATGAGTAATACTAATAATTGTTTTATAAAAATGGCTAAACTTGGATGTTGCTTTCCACAAACATTTGCTGCACACCAAGATTACCCATTAACAATTTCCAGTGTCTTCCATGAATGTCATAAATGAGTGAAAAAAAAAAAAAACACTTACAGCGTCTAATCCATCATGGCTGTTAGTGAGGAGGATAGGATCTGGAACAGGCAAGTTCATTTCAGAATGTATCTGTTGAAGATCTTGAACATTTAACATGGGTTCCTATATATAAACAAATTGTGTTTAGAGGTACTGTCAATAAACAAGCAAACAAATTGTGAGTTTTTGTATATGCATTACCTTAAGAAAGCCATCTAGTTCCAATAATTTCTTTGGAAAGAAACTGGCAACAAGATCTTCAGCCTACAAGAAAATTAATCGTTATGTAAACAAATTTATAAGACAGGTTTACAAACACATACAAACACATTTATTACAGTAATGAACAGGTAACATACTGCAACATTATTTGCTTATTTCAAACGGTTTTGTTTCTTGAATGAACACCACTTTTTGCAGAATCAACACAGATACTACTCTGTGCATTATGTTAATTAGTAAGCTTACACACTTTTGGTTGTCAGCAAGCCTCAGCAATACAGAACAGAAAGCAGGTAACCGATCAGAATCAAGCTCCAATGTGAGTTTATAAATGTATACATAGTTTTTCCTATAAGTAAGGATGTTTTTAGAAAAGCTTTAGAAAAATATGAATTCTTAAACAAAATACTGATACCTCACTTGTGATTCTTTCCCGGAAATGATCCACCTGAAAGAGTAAAAGGAAGTTTATTAAAAAAAGAAAAGCAAGAGAGAGGGCGCGAGCGTCCACACACACAGTAAGAGTTATAAAATATGCTGGGGCATGGCTAAACATGTTTTACAGTAATAGTGCAAAATGATACAATAATGTGACACTTTAATCACTAAAATGAAAGCGCCACCACAGAATTGTGCAGTTTTTCCACATTATGCATGGCCAACAGCAATGAAAGCAATGCTTTATAAACATATCAAACATACACATTCTTCCTTCACATTTGATATAATTTAAGCTTACAAAAAATGCACAAGTTAGGGTTTTCTAGCCATAGTTACTTAAAAAAAAAGCAAATGCATATTACAAGATAAATATTTTTGCTACTTTGTACCATCTTGTAATTTATGCAAAAGGCGCACAAATAAAAGTTGCACATACCAACGTCATAAAAACATTTTGTAGGTGAAATATAACTTAATAAAAATTCATCATCATATGCCTTTTCAAAAACCAATATCTTAAAATAAACATTTTTGGAAGATTTCTGTTTTTCAAATAAAGGGTTTTAATCTTGCTTGCATATTTTACATCAGGGACATATCTCATCCGCCACAAATTTGTTACATATGCAAATTGTGTTATCTGGTTATCACAGCTACTCAAACAGTAACGACTGTAGACTTCCAACACAGATAGGTGTCAAACTGTTCGTACACGGCTTGACAGATTCCTGGTTCAGTCTTTTCCTGAAAACCGGGATTCTAGAGGCATACAGCACCTCGCTGCTTCAGCTCATTGAAGTGGTCTGGGTACAGTGTCCCTATTGCACTTAGCGGTGCAATGTTAAACATTGCCGTTCCAGAGAATCTGCAATGTTTACATTGCAGCACTAAGCCTGCCTCCAGTGGCTGTCTACCACAAAGCCACTAGAGGCACTTCCTGGATCCAAACAGACCTTTGGTCCAGTAACCAACACTGGACGTCCTCACACTCTGCATGAGGACATCCAGTGTCAGATTTTCCCTAGGCGCCAGCTTGTCACAGGACAAGGAAGGAGGCGGAGCCACAACCCAGCATTGAGGGACATCGGCGCTGGGATATGTAAATAAAGGGCTATCAACCCTTTATTTATCAGAGCGTGGGACTCCGAGGGAGCTTTAGTGCCAGGAATACAGCCAATTGATATTAAAATCGCCAAAGACCAATAGTTCACTTTCTGGGTTTTGAGCTATGCTTTCACTAAGGATATGGGTTATGTCTGAAAGGGAATGCACTGGGGAGCTAGGTGGCGGTAAATTCGTGCAACAATTGATTTACTGCACGGCATCTCAGTTGTGCCGGAGAGGAATGAAAAAAAAAAAAAATATATATATATATATATATATATATACACATACACACACACACACACACACACTTTCTAGCCTTTCTGACAGAAGTATATTTGTTTAATCCCATCCTGACCGTTATGTACCAAGTAGTATCAAGCAAGTTGTAAGAGCGGTGAGTCTGGTGAGTGCGTGTTATGAGTTGACTGTAGGTGGTCTAGTGCCTTAACCGGACACCAAGCATTATCTGTTGGAAAGAGGGGAATGATAGTGGGGTGTAGTGAATGATTAGTTTTGGTAGATGGGATTGTGAAAACGTAGTAATTCTCTACTTTTGTGAGTTGTGAGGTTTTAGGGCTGTGTGATATTTTCTTGACAAACAACTGTAAATTCCCTAGGTCTTAGGAACCCATAAAAAGCTAAATAGATTGACTTGATCACCAGGTTTGTGTTAGGATCAAATGGGGATTCGTCAAGTAGATTGCTAAGTAATCTAAAGATAGGCCCATCTATCGGTAGTCTGGTGGTGATAAATGGAACCGAAACTTTAGAGATACCCTTTAAGATTTTCTTGATGGGGTATGATGACAAAAAGGGGGTGTTAGGTAAATTTGTGAGGCTGTGATGCTGCACCCCCGTGAGGTATAGTTTAATTGTATTGTGGGAAAGTTTTAAATGTAAGTGGCAAAAGCCACCATAGTTTGGGTCGGAAAATCAGCTTGTAATCCGAATTCAGCTGTGAATTTATTGAAAACGGTAAGTGCCCTACTGTAGGTGATAGTTGTGTTAGGTGATAGTGCTTAGTGCGTAAGAGCCCTAGCGTGGTGCATTAGTGTGTTCAATCCAGGATTAACTCCTGAAACCTCGGTGTTCTAGATGGTTGATGGTGGGCTGACGGGAGTGCCTGGAAGAATACCTGGAATTGAGATCGAGACAGAGCATCAGCGGCCGTGTTGTGGATACCCGGGATGTAAAAGCAAATTAAGTGGAACTGGACGGTTGCTGCCAGCCAGGTCAGCTTGCAAATCAGCAGCATGATGGTAAGGGAGGAAGAGCACCCCTTGTTAATGATATCGCAAGTTGACGAGTTGTCGGAATAGCATTTTACTGCCTTGCCGGACCAGAGATGTGTGCGGCCGCCACGATGGGGTAAATTTCAAATAGGGCTGAAGTCTCTCTGAAACCCGGCAAGGCATCCGTCTCAGCGTGCCAGTGACCCCTAAACCAGTGATTACCGAATATAGCTGCAAAGCCCGTGTTGGCTGCAGCGTCAGTGTGAATGCAAGGTGAGGAGTCGGAGAGAGGGGGGATAAACATGAGTAGGTCAGCTTTGACGTGCTGGTCCAACGCAATTGGGCAGGCGTCCGGTACCCCGTGAAGCAGACAAAGAAGCCTGGATACAAAAGACTTCCCTGCGGAATGATGCGCATTGCGAAATTCAGGGACCCCAATAAGGACTGAAGTTCTTTCCTGGTGCGTACATCATTCCGCAGGAACATGTCTATCTCCCTTCTCAAGCGGACCAGTTTGTCGGGGGGAAGGCTGGTGCGGAAAGTACCAGAGTCCAGCTCTATCCCCAAGAAAGTAATTTTAGTAGTGGGGCCAATCGTTTTAGAGGGAGACAAAGGTACCCCGAGAGTGGAGAAAAGTGCCTAGGTGCTGAGGATTTCGGTGGGTGTGCGTGCGCTCGGTTCTATTATGAGGAAGTCATCCAAATAATGAATACATAAAGTGCGCTGTGCCTTTAAGACTACCAAATATTGAAATAAAGTAAGAATAATATGTGTAATATTATATAACACAGAAAGTGAAATAAAGTAAGAATAATATGTGTAATATTATATAACACAGAAAGTGTACACTTTCTATGTTATATAATATTACACATAGTATTCTTACCTTATATCAATATTTGGTGGTCTTAAAGGCACAGCACACTTTATGTATTTATCTTTATTTGGTCACATGTGATTGAGCTTGTTCACTGTATATAGTGCTGCTTATTATATATTTATCATTATTTGAACCAGCGCCATAACATTACTTGTGTGTATTTAGTATCCAAATAATGGATGACTGCGTGACATCTGAGAATGTTCAGAAGCAGCCAGCATAGAGTTTCTGCGAAAATATCAAACAGTTTAGGGCTGCTTCTGGACCCGAAAGTGAGTCGCGTGGAAAAATAGTACCTGTTTCGCCATTTAACACTATGCAAGTGCCAAAGTGATGGGTGCATGGGCAGTAATTTGAATGCATTGGTTATGCCTGTTTTGCTATAGCCAAGCGTTGCTACCAGTTGAAATGATGGTTTGTATAGCGTCGTCAATTTTTACGTACTGTAGTGAGAATTCGTCTGTGGGAATGAGTGCGTTAATGCTGGGAACAAAAGAAGAGTGCGGTGCCGATAAATCGATAATCATGCGCTTTTTATTCAAGTATTTGTGCACAGCTATGCCAATGGGATTAGTGCGCCAGGACGAAACCGTTGAGGAGGTGAAGGGGCCAATCATGAAACCTTGTGCTATTTCTGTGGAAAGGAGAGCGTCAGTGGCCTCTGAGTCTAGGCAGGCTGATAGGAGATTGGGGCATTCCAGCATGCCTGAGGGAATGGCTACGAGACATGTGAGAAAGCCCTGGGTGAACCCTGTTAAATATTCCACTAGATGTCTACTTGGATGAGTTTTCAAGTAAAAAACCAGGTTGTCGATATGTCAGTCACTTGCTAGGTCTTAGTGTGTGCCCTGAAGCAGATAGAGCAGATGTGCAACAATCTACAGGTGCTGAAGCTGCAGGAACCTGCATTTAAATTGTTGCACACCTGAGCTTTCCCTAGAAAGGAGATGGGCCTACCCAGTTTATCCCGCTGACCACCCTCATGTTTATTGTGAGGAGTGGAAGTGGATTGAGGGGTGGGGGTGGATGGATCAGCCACAGAAGGGCACAAATCAGCCAAGTGAGTTGAAGAATTACATATGGCACAAGACGGGGGCCTCAGACCAGCAAAGTGGCAACAGAATAATTCTGTATCCATCTGACACCAGTTAATGCTTATGTTAAATTGTTTCAGATGTGTCACCGCTTTCGCTAATATCGATTTATGATAGTCATAAAAAGATGAGCCCTTGTACTTGACGCCCAAATCCACCACTTTATGGAGATAGAGGTCCAGTTCCTCTCTCCTGTGGGGATATACCGAGCAAATGACATCACGGTATATCCCGAAAGCCAAAACGAAATTGGGAATAGATAATTTTTTGTTGAGCCTAGGGTCTCTGGTTTTAAGAACCACCGAAATATTCCCAAAGTTATAAGCCCTGTTCTCCAGCACGTCTTGGGAGGCTATAAGCAATGACATCAGACACACGTCCTTCCCATCCAGGATTTCTTTCCTAATGGAGTCTGGGACGGAGTGAGCTGGTGACACAACAGGAGACGTATCTGAGGCAGGAGCTGAAGAGGGAAGTATAGGGGCTGGTGTTGATGCCATAGGTACTGCTGGGGTGAGGGGTCAGGAAGGTTACCTGGGGAGGCGATGGCACTCTCCACCTTGCTTAAGCTGCTGTTCGAGGTCTGCAGGTTGGCCAGGATTGCCGCAAGGGTGTCATGGGTGGCTGAGCCAGCGCCAGATGGTTGACCTTGAGAGCCTAGTGCCTGACCTAGGCTCAGGGGCCTGGTTGGTCACAAGTCTGTAGAGTTCTGCCTTACGAGCCGCAGCCCTAAGCCTAAATTCGGCCGTAATTTTTTGAATAGTCCATGCTCTCAAGGACGTAGGAATAGAGGGGGTGAGAGATTCGCCTGGAGACTCGGGTCTGAAAGGAGTAAACGGAATCTCATTGGTAGGCAACTTGTCAATGGATGCCGGATCTTGAGACATTCTAGAAACGAATTAATGAATTGGATTTAGTAGGGGCGTATGAGAAAATTAAAAGGGGGGGGGAGGTGGTTAGGGGGTGTTCCTAAGGTGAACTGGACTGTAAGGCTATTGCCGAAGCGAAAAACTTAACTGTGACTAGTGACAGATGAGGCCCTACTAGTGCCAAGTTGCGGTGAGAGACTCTATGATTTGGCAGAGGTTGCCACAGATGTGGTGGCGGGATGTTGGCCTCTCGATGACATTAAGTGAAAAGTGAGGCCCTGACTACGGCCCTGTAGAAGGGCGAATTAAGCTTTTACCTGTGATTTGGATGTGGGGCCGAAAGGTTGTACCAACCGATCCCTGAGGTGCCTTAGCGTGGAAACCGTGGTGGGCTCCGTTAAAGTTACCGTGATCCCATGTGCATTCCGCCCCCTGGTAAAACCCCCGAGCGGCGTGGAGGAGACTGGAATGAGGGGTAAGTATGACTCACAGTTGGCTGTTTAGGAAGCCAGATCGTCGCACCAGACGGAGGATTCTGCCGGAGACTGCGGCTGGATAGGACGCCCGGACGTCAGTGAAACCGGAAGTTGAGCGGCAACACTTGAACTTGGATGTCAGAGGTGAGTAGGGGCTGGGAGTTTAAGTAGGGGACTTACTCCTCCCACAAATTCAGGCCTAATGGCCTTTCTACACACACACATTATATATATATATATATATTAGGGATCGACCGATTATCGGTTTTACCGATATAATCGGCCGATATTGGGTATTTTCGGCAATATCGGTATCGGCCAATTCAGATACCGATATTGCCGATAATACCTCCTAGGACTGCCAGGCTCATTACAAGCCCGGCGGTCCTGGGGGGGCGGAGACCAAGCGCTTACTCACCTCCCAGCAGCTCCTCCAGCTCCCCAGTGCAACTCTCGCGAGACCCGCGGCCGTCAGAGCGTTGCCATGGATCACCATGGCAACGCTCTGCGCGACACGCTGGCCGCGAGAGTTGCACTGGGGAGCTGCTGGGAGGTGAGTAAGCGCTTGCTCTCCGCCCCCCCAAAGCTCAGCCATTACCACTGGACCACCAGGGACTGTCATATCCCCCCTCCCTGGCCAGGTAACAAGCAGGGAGGGGGGACAACAAAAATAAATAATAAAGTAAATATAATTTTTTTTTTAATAATTTAATAAAAAATGCCCCCTCACACACTGCATTATATACACATACACTACACAAACACACTGTGTATATAATGCAGTATGTGTTTGTATAGTGTGTGTGTGTGTGTGTTTGTATACAACGCACACAAACACACTGCATTATATACCCACACTACACAAACACACACTGCATTATATACACACACTATACAAACACACTGTGTATATAATGCAGTGTGTGTTTGTACAGTGTGTGTATATAATGCAGTGTGTGTGTGTGTGTTTGTATACAATGCACACAACCACACTGCATTATATACCCACACTACACAAACACACACTGCATTATATACACAAACAACACAAACACACTGTGTATATAATGCAGTGTGTGTTTATACAGTGTGTGTATATAATGCAGTGTGTGTTTGTGTAGTGTGGGTATATAATGCAGTGTGTTTGTATAGTGTGTGTTTGTGTAGTGTGGGTATATAATGCAGTGTGGTTGTGTAGTGTGTTTATATAATTCGGTGTGTGTTTATGTAGTGTGTTTGTGCAGTGTGTGTTTGTGAAGTGTGTATATAATGCAGTGTGTGTGTTTGTGTAGTGTGTTTATATAATGCAGTGTTTGTGTAGTGTGTGTATATAATGCAGTGTGTGTGGTGTGTGTATATAATGCAGTGTGTTTGTGTAGTGTGTTTATATAATGCACACTACACAAACACACTGCATTATATACACACTATACAAACACACACTCTGCATTATATAAACACTACATTCACTATACACACACTACACAAATACACACACTCTGCATTCATTATATACACACACACTTTGCATTTAGTATATACAGCATTCACTTTACGCACACTACCCACACACTACACAAACACTCTGCTTTCATTATATACACACTACACTAATACACACTGCATCCACTACACACACTAGACAAATACACACTGCATCCACTACACACACTAGACAAATACACACTGCATCCACTACACACACTAGACAAATACACACTGCATCCACTACACAAACACACATTGCATCCTCCACACACACTACACAAACACACACTGCATCCATAACACACACACTACACAAACACACACTGCATCCACTACACACAACACACACACAGCTCCCCTGTCACACTGCATCCACTACACGTGGCATGTCTATTTTGTGCATTTACCTTTAGAAATAGTTTTTATTTTCCAAAATGGTAAATGTACAGAATATCGGCAAATTATATCGGCTATCGGCCTGAAAGTTCACAGAATATCGGTATCGGCTCTGAAAAATCAATATCGGTCGATCCCTAATTATATATATATATATATATATATATATATATATATATATATATATACACACACACACACACACACACACACACACACACACACACACACACACACTACAACTACGTAACTATTTGATTTTATTAATTAGAATTTGAGGGACCTGTCTGACAACCAAGGCAGGCAGTCCAGAGAATGGAATTGGCAAGCCCTATATTTAACCCTGTAACTTTCCAAAACACCATAAAACCTTTACATGGGGGATATTGTTATGCTCGGGAGACTTCGCTGAACACAAATACGAGTGTTTTAAAAAGTAAAATGCATCACGAAGATGATATCACCAGTAAAAGTGCAGTTTTTGTTTTAAAAAAAAAATACAAAAAAACAAATATGAACGCTAACTTTGGCCTTCGCTTGTGGCTAAGTGGCTACTACAAAAGACTGGACATACCCCATTTTGAATATCCTGGATTGTCTACATTTGAAAATGGTATGCCATGATGCAGTTAATTTTCATTTCTGGGCTGCCATACCGCCTCAAAGGCAACATAGCCAATCTGTCAAATAGCAATTTACAAAAACAGAAGATCGGCAAATCTTATGTTTGAACCTGTCACTTTCCAAATCACCATAAAACCTGTACTTGAGGGGTACTGTTGTGCTCGTGAGACATTACTCTACACAAATATGAGTGTTTTAGAGCAGTAATATCATCGGTGAAATGGCAGTTTTTGTTTGAAAAATGCAAAAAACCAAAAACAAATATAAATGCTAGTTTTGGCCAGGGTTTGTGACTAAGTGGCTACTAAAAAAGACTGTGCATACCCCATTTTGAATACCGTGAGTTGTCTACTATTACAAATGGTATGCCATGATGGGGTGAATTTTCATTTCTGGGCTGCCATACGGTCTCAAAGGCAACATAGGCCCAACAAACCAATATGGCAAATTTCAATGTGCAAACATGGAAAAGGGGAAAGCCCTACATTTGAACCCTGTAAAGTTTGCAAACACCCATAAAACCTGTACACTGGGGGCACTGTTGTACTCAGGAGATGTTGTTGAACACATATTGGGGTGTTCTTTGTCAGTAACACATAACAGAAACTGAGAATCCATGCCTAAAGTACAATGTGAGAGAAAAATAACAACAAAATTACTACCCAAAAGTTTGACAAAGACTGGTGGTAGAATTAGTGCATGGAAAGTTTTGAAATACAACCATTTCAAATACCCTAGGGTGTCTACTTTTCAAAAATATATGGTTAGATGGGGTAAATTACATTGGCCGGCTTCAAAAATGTCCCAAATAGGACATGGGTGCATGAGATCCTGACACACCTATACATGGGTGGTATCTGGCCCTCAGGAGATGTTGATGAACACATGTTGGGGTGTTCTTTGGCAGTGCATGTATTCTTAAATTGCTATGTGTGTCAAAAAAATCACCAATGTTTTACTTTTTTTTTTTATTTGGCATAGATGGGTGGTAAAATGGTGACATGAAAAGAGTCAAAATACCCCAAGGTTGTCTTATATTATAAATATTATACATGTGAAGGGTTATTCAGTGATTCCTGACAGATATTGTTACAATGTAACTTTTGTTAATTTTAGGGGGGGAGAGAAATGGTTAGGAAATAGCAAAGTGTTTCTTGTACTTATTGGCAGATAACTTAAAAAAAAATAAAAATAAAAAAAAAGCTAAGAACATGTTAACATCGGGTATTTCTAAACTCAGGACAAAATTTAGAAACTATTTAGCACGGGTGTTTTTTGGCAGTTGAAGATGCGTAACAGATTTTAGAGGTCAAAGTTACAAAATGTGGGTTTTTGTTAAATTTTTCCATCAAATTTTATCATTTTTTTATAGTAAATTATATATGATGAAAATAATGAAATAATGGTATCTTTAGAAAGACCATTTAATGCCGAGAAAAACAGTAAGAAAATTGAAAAACAGTCTAGTCACTAAGGGATTAAGTTAATAGCCCAATCAAATGCTTCATGCCCCTTCTTCTGCCCCTGATATGCCTGCTTGACTGATATCAGAAGTGGTGTTCTGAGCCAATCACAATGCTTTCCTATAGGATTAGCTGAGACTGTCAAAGAGGCAGATCAAGGGCAGAGCCAGCACAAATCAAACAGTCCTGGCCAATCAGCATATCCTCACAGAGATGCATTGAATCAATGCATCTTTATGTGGAAAGTTGATTCCATGCAGAGATTAGAGAAACTGAATGGCACTGCCCCAGGAAGCACCTCTAGTAGCCATCTGAGGAGTGCCCAGTGGAGTTATCACTAGGCTGTAATGAAAACACCGCATTTTCTCTGAAAAGACAGTGTTTACTGCAAAAAGACAGAAGGGAATGATTATACTCGCCAGAACAAATACAATAAGCGGTCGTTCTGGTGACTAAAGTTTCCCTTTAAACTTTATGTGAACAACATGTAATACCTACTTGCTCTGTCTGCTAATCTTTCCACTCTCCATATCTACACCCTCCTTAATTTCAGGTGAATCCCCTCTTTATTCTATACTATCTACCACATTACCGTTCTTTGACCCCTTTTAACCTAGTTTAAACCAACCTTCTAGCCATTATCCCCCCAACATAAAAAAACCCTCTCCATTTAGGTGCAATTAATCTTGACTATTAAGACAAATTTATTAAGAATAATTAAAAACATAAATGCATGCTATGGATTCCTTACTAGCACTTATTTGGATGTTTTAAATTGTTAGTAATACATTTGTTTCCACTTCATGTACCTGCTAATTCCTTCTGATAATGCATCTTGGCTCTGGAAAGACCCAATTTTGATACCATACCTGCAATACTTGGAGCCAATCTTAAAGAAAACACCATTTAAGAGGTTCAAGAAGGCAGGCAGGGAAACCCATTATTTTTAGAGCCTGTTTCCATAAAATGTTTCACCACAATTTTCTAGAGTATATATATATATATATATATAAATAAATAAAATGAAAAACCTTGCACTCGCATGTACATTTAAATAAACCCGGTGCTTGATTGCACTAAATAGATAAAGCCAGAAAAAATCAGCACTCCCAGGAATTTTGCAAAAAATCCAAACACTTATCTTTATTCCAGTAGTCAACGTTTCAGTTCCACTACTGGAATAAAGATAAGTGTTTGCACTGCAAAATGACCTCCAGCAGGCCACAAATGTGCATGTGTCTGCTCAAATGGTCAGAAACAGACTCCATGAGGGTGGTATGAGGGCCCGACGTCCACAGGTGGGAGTTGTGCTTACAGCCCAACACCGTGCAGGACATTTGGCATTTGCCAGAGAACACCAAGATTGGCAAATTTGCCACTGGCGCCCTGTGCTCTTCACACTGAGCACATGTGACAGTCTGGAGTTGGCCCTGGGTTCCTCCTAATGCAAGACCTCATGTGGCTGGCTCGCCCGTCCCCCAGACCTGAATCCAATTGAGCACATCTGGGACATCAAGTCTCGCTCCATCCACCAACGTCACGTTGCACCACAGACTGTCCAGGAGTTGGCAGATGCTTTAGTTCAGGCCTAGGAGGAGAACCCTCGGGAGACCATCCGCCACCTCATCAGGAGCATGCACAGGCGTTGTAGGGAGGTCATACAGGCACGTGGAGGCCAGCCATACTACTGAGCCTCATTTTGACTTGTTTTAAGGACATTACATCAAAGTTGGATCAGCCTGTAGTATGTTTTTACACTTTAATTTTGAGTGTGACTCCAAATCCAGACCTCCATGGGTTAAAAAATTTGATTTCCAATTTTTTAATTTGTGTGATTTAGTTGTCAGCACATTCAACTATGTAAAGAAAGTATTTCAGAAGAATAATTCATTCAGATATAGGATGTGTTATTTTTGTTTTCCCTTTATTTTTTTGAGCAGTGTATATTCGGGGCCAGTACAAACCTTTATCTCGAAATCTGTTCATAAACAGGGCTATACATAGGACACGAGGTCACACATTTAGGCTGGAAAAAAGGAGATTTCATCTAAGGCAAAGAAAAGGTTTGGTTTTCTGGCACTATAGTGGTTCTTTAATGGGCAGGCCTTGACCATTTCTGCACTGTCAGATCATAAGTGGGCCTGTCACACAGATGTATTTAATTTTTTTCAAAGATACCTTGAGAATTAAACCTCCTTGAATGAACTTGGAATACTCCCCTTGTTTTGTAGTACCTTATGGATTCCCTTTTTGAGTCTTTAGAAGAAGTCTATTACACTTCTCACAAAGACTGTGTGTTCCTTGTTGCTATTACAGTAGCCAGACATATGTTTGAGGTTTGACCATTTTCATGAAAGGAACCATACTATCTTCCAAGGCTCTACAGTTATTCTAGGTACTTTCCATCTAAATGTCCTTCTGTTCAAAACCTTCTAATGAAGAAAGGCTTTGCTGGCAAACAGCCAAGGAGGATACCTTCCTACTTTCGTTAGCTCCCCTTAGCCAACGGAAACAGTAGGCACGCTCTACTTGAGCATGCCGACCTGCCACACTCTCACAGATCTCAGATTAGCTCCTTTGTTCCAGACATGCACGCAATGGTGAGAAGCCTTTGACTAGTTGTTTCCCTTTGAAAAGACTGAAAGTCTCCTCCAGGAACAAAGTGGAGGGCTTACAAAGGCTGCAGTCATAAGAACTTCAACTTTTTTTTCTCTTTTAGACCATACTCACAATGAATAAATACATAAACATATGCATGCATGTATTTAATGTGGGTATATCTACTAAACTGTGTTTTTGTTTGTTTTTAAGCATAGAGTGGTCCTTTAAGTAGTTAAACCATGTGAGACCGGTTTGACAACTTACCTGGGTACCACTGGGAACCCACTGCCTACTCTTTGGAATCAGGAAGCTCCCTGAACTCAACCTGGAAAAACCAGAAAAGGTTAATGGAAACTCCTTGCAGGAGATTCTGCCTGAAGAAGGGATGAATGGTTCACCCCAGGTAAGCTGTCAAACAATTCTTAAACAGTTTCATGCAGCCACTGCATTTTTGGCATTAAAATCACTACAGCCATATTTTTTGTAGTTATAATGCTTGAATGTTCCTTTAACAGACACCCCCAAGTGAATATATATTTATCATATAGGTGTTATATTTTTACCTTAAAGTTAAATACAAACCCCTCCCTCCCTCCCAGCACCACTGTCTATAACCTTGAAGGTGCTACAAAATCTCCAGTCTGCCTGAACTCTGCTATTAAACTGGTCCTGAACCATATCAAATTCCTTAGCAAAATCCATATAGACCACATTCAATTGAACACCCTTATATCTCCTTTACATAGGAGATATATCCTCTTTTATCTATACCCCACTTATTGGTTGTTTTGTTTGCTAATTGTTTGGTGTACAGGGGGCATACTGTTTTAAGTGGGGTTGTTCACATTGCATTAGTAGTGGAAATATATATTTTCTTTGTTTTTACCTATACATCTACTGACTTCTTCATGAAATGCAATACATTGAGTTTAATAAGATCTGTCCTTCATAAAACCATGCTGTACCCTACAACGGATGTTTATCACAATTAAAAGGTTACTCCAAGCACCTTGACCATTTCACTGATTTGGTGAGGAAGCAATCCATTAAACTAAACGGCTGGGGCCATTATCAGGGAACGAGCTTTTAGAAGTAATCATTTAATTCCTAAATATTATCACTTAATATCCCTTCAAATTATTTCTCAACTACAAATAAGTCCACAGATAAAAGACAAATACATACTTTGTCCTACAGTAAATGCCTATGTTGACAAAGCTTGACAAAAGGCTGTGCTAGTGTGGTCAAGTTTTGTCACTTCCCTAAGCAATTTTGCGGGGTCATCCATACTACTTTCTTCAATGTGTGAGGGTACAGCACTGATGTTGGGGCTCCTGGCGGATGAACTGGCAGGAGTTGAAGACTGAATATGCTAGGGCTTATTGTAAGGGCTCACTCATGTGAAAATGTAGCTCTGACAAGCAGAAATTCAAACCTGGTTGAGTATGTCATGGCTTACAGTGGCAAGTAACTTTAAGGTCTGCCTAGTAGCATTGGACTTTAAAGTTCAAGCCCTAAAAATTATCTAGAGCCTGTGGTATTCTGCTGTGGGTTTGTAGGCACCTGGTGTGACGCCAATTGCACTTTGTTCCCCAAAACAGATCTTCCTTAATGACTTAGAATTACAAACTAAATAAAAACTTATATTTACTTTTATTAAGTACTGACTGGCCAGAAGACATGCATTTTCTATTAACCAGTACAAATGTTGTAATATAGTATTGAAATACCAATTACTGACAGCTGTCACTAGTGATAATTGGGGTAAGTGACAAAATTTAAAGGTAGCTGCTGACACAAAAAAAAGTCATATCAAAGCAGTCCAAAAACTTTCCAAAATAGTTTCAAATTCCTCCAAGCCACTGCTACAGATTCAGTCTTATTAATATGCTGCAGAAAGGAAATTCATTTTCATAGAGCCACCCAAAATGAATTTTACTTGGCTAAGTTATTTACTTCTTACAGGATATTGCAATTGTTTCATGTACTGTCCAATTACATGAAGAAGTGATATAACCGTCAAGAAAACATAATGGCTGACAACCTTATGCAGAAACCCCCCCATAGACAAATCCTCTACCTAGCCACGCATCTGGTCACGACGGCCTATTTAGAAACCATCAAATGACTGTCTTCTCTGGTAATTAGATTTAGGCCCAAAGTTTCATTAACCTACACCGATCCCACAATTCACATGACATAAAGATGTACTGTAAACGTCACCTTCTTTTTCAGCTCCTGGTCCACTTTAAGTAGGGAGGACATGGCGAAGACTGCACGGCTAGCTGACTGTTCAGTACTCTCACACACCGGCTGCGTGCTAGCACAGTTCCGGAAGTGACGTCGTAGTCAACGCGCGAGGAACAGAGGCAACGCTAGCTAGGCGCGCGCGGACACAGTACTGGCACTATGCAACCTCGAGAGGACTGGTGGGCGGAGCGTGAATCACACGTCATCACCGGGCGACGGAAGCATGTGACGCGTCCTAACGAAAGTAGCATGTGCGGAGACCTCATTTGGAGACATTGCCAAACTAACGTTATTATCGTTCCATTTGCTGTCAAAATTTTCTCTCCCAGTGTTTTTTTTTTTTTTTTTATGAAAACAGAATGTCTTGAGTAAACAGTGTTCTCTCGTGTTGCCATTTATGGTACTATTTCCCTTTCAGCATTAGAATGCTGCACCAACACAATATATATTTTGGAATTTTCGACAAGTTGTACTTTCTTTATTAAAGCTGTCCTTAGGGACGTTCGTCATTTTGAGTTAACTGTCTCATTCAAGAGCTTTAACATTGAATGAGACAGTTGTCTTCGTTCTGCAGACTGAAAAAAAAATATATATGATTTTTCTTTTTCCATAATTTCCCCTTTTTCCTCGCGTTTTCCACGCCCCGTGGATGACGTAACCGATGATTTCTATCTACGTGCTCGTGCGCGGTTCAACGTACAAGTCCCCGCGGACGACGAGCAGCAGCAACAACAACAACAATGGTATACGGTTGAACTTCTCACTTTAAGAAGGTTGGAGCTCGCGTCAATCAATCTATCAATCTTTTTTTTTTTTAAGTCGAAAGACACGAGGTAAATGTATATTTTATAAAGGAAAAATTCTCTGCCGTCTTGAGTTAGTCAATAAAGCACAACTGTACACGTTTAGAGCGATGTAAGCCATTTACAAAGAGACTGTAAAATGTGATTATAGAGCTAGCGATGTAAGCCATTTACAAAGAGACTGTAAAATGTGATTATAGAGCTAGGAGAGACCGTACTGGAAATTATTGTGGTAATATGCTTTATTTATGATACATGGATCTAAGGATTTTAGGCGTCAGCTCCCGGTAGGAGGAAAGAATATTTCGGTGCTGATTATCTGCTGCACAGTCACAAAACATTCAGCACTATATGCTTGCAATGCAGAGACCAACATAGGTCCTTAGCTGGCATTTTACATTAAGACCTCCTCGCAATGATCTCACACGGACTAAACTAGAATGGCAGAGTGATGACACATTGTAACTCTGCTGGCTGCCACCCCCTCAAGACTTCGCTGAGTCGCAGAATTCTTATTGTAAAAAGCTAGAAAGATTTAGAATACCATCACCTGACCAAAAAAAAAAAAACAGCCAGATTTTTCATACCGTGTTTTAGCACAACACACCTTCCAACAAAGCTGACGAGTACCAATGTATCCTGCAGGAAATCCATAGTTTCAACTTTGATTCAAATTGTGCAGAAGCTTCTTTGCCAGTTATTCACTGGAAATGGGGTGCAGAAGGTCAGGGGTAGGCTTGGGCTGTCTAGCTGTAATGGGTGTTGTAGTGCCTGAATTGGAAGTAGAATCATAAATAAATAAAAAATATCTGTCTTCCTTTATAGAATCAATGGGTGGAATAATTGTATTTTTGGATCAATACAACTCCACAATTCTGTGTATCACGTAGTACCTGTTTCAGTGTAAAATTGAGTTGTTTTTTTCAGTGATTATTAATGCCAACACTATTTGTAGTGTATACGTCTTAATTAAATAAACCATTAACTATCAACTAAGTAATGTTGTCCAAATTGTTCCTCTATATTTACAGTCTACTCCTCACATTTCACTAAAGCAAAAGAGACATAAAAAAGGTAAATCCTTATAAAACCATCCTTGCATCATAACCGCTACAGCTCACAGTAGTAGATAATGTCCGTGGAGTGTTGCTTTAATCAGAATCAAATCTATTCACAGGGTTTACTTCAAATAACCTGTGTATGTATATTGGTTTTTATGGGCGGGAGGTTGTTTTATCAATATAATTTTATTGGAGGTTCTAGTTCATGAAATTTAGATTGAACAGTAAGCCTTCAAGTGAGACACACAGTTCTATGTAAAAAGCCATAAGGAAAGTTTGAAATTACATCACAGATGGAAACTCACAGGTTTCCTGACATAACACACAATATGAGACACACAGGTCCCCGATTTATGCTAATACCTCAGAGTTAATAAACAAGTACAGGTTTATCAAAATGCCTTATTTTTGTATAAGTTAGCAGGCGGCAATATAAAGTCCCACTCATCACTGCTGCGATTGGAAGCTAAACGGTAGGTCGAGTTTTTTTTCGTACATGTGCAGGTTAGCTACTGATCACCAAAGTAGTCAATGTCATGAAACAGGGAGGTTTAGTCTCCATCAACTAACATCGCCACTACCAAGCCAGGACCTCCTCCGTCGCAGAGTGGTGAGAAGAAAAGAATAAGAAATAAAGAAGGGACGGAATGGGGTGGAGGGGGGGAGTGGAGTGTCCCCTGTCACTATCCCCACTACTCCTGCCCTAAGTGCCTACTGCTCACTGCTTGGCTTTGACCTTCTCTTAGGGTCTTAATTGCTATTCTATCCCAGGAATGTGGGCATGCATTCTATTAGATAAGTCATTTGAAATCAGCCGATTCCATAGTGAGTATCCAATGAGTCCAGATGTTTAGGTAAATCTGAGACCTAACACTGGTTTGGAAAATGAGTTCCTCCATGGTTGGAAGTTGTACCATACTTTGGAACCAGAGGATAAGGGGAGGGGTCTCATTCTTGCAAATCAGAGGTATCAGGTTCTTAGCTACAATCAGTATCCTAAATGTTAAGGATTTTATGTATACTGACGTTCGAAGTGAAGTATGATGTGGCAGGAGAGAGGCGTGTCATCTGAAAACTTCTGGACTATTATGTAAATTTGTATTTATTTAAATAAATACAAAGTTGTCAAGTTGATCTATGTCTGAACTCATACCTCCCGAGTGTTCTTTAGTATCCCTCTTTTGTAGTAGATCTGTATTCATAGTGTGTCTGAAGTTATTTGAAAGCTCCACAGCATTTAGAAATGTAATTGTAAATAAAATACATTGAGGATATTTACGTTGCCAACACTTATCCATCTAATTTTTAGCAAATGTTTGGTGCAGTTTTATTCAGTCTGTCGATTGTTTTGTTCCATTGTTTTTGAATATATGGTTTTTATTTATTTAATTTTTTTACAAAAAAGTAATAATAATAATTATCGTGCCGCTATAAACTTTTCTGAAAAGGAGATTTTGGCAAAAACTAGGGGACTTTACTATAAAGAAAGCTGTCACTTTTTTACATGACATTAACAAAAACACATTTCAAATAATTATGCAATTTAACTGTCAGTTTTCAGAATCTCCATAATTTTTGTTCTAAATATACAAAAAGGAGGGCTGTTAGCAGGACACATTGTGTCTTCCTGTATTGTGTCCCAAATAAAACTTTGCTACTGCTCATTCAAAAAATGTGAATCCTTTATTAGTAACTCCTGTAAAATATATATCTGACATACAGTAGTTCAGGGCTCCTAACAATGATACACCACGGTGATGTACATGTTTAATGCGCAAGGCACTTTGTCTAAAGCAAATATAATGAAACCTTGCTTCCCTTCTCACTTTATAGCGGTACTAAGCTAACCCTGGTCAGTGTGGACCACCGCAACCGCACTTTTCCCCACAGAGCCTCCTGGAACATATTGATAAACGTCGAAAAACTTTTCCAAGACTATGCAGATAGCATTACCCAGCCTCAAAGCCCCAAACTCAACCAGTAATATCACGAGTACCTACTAATGTTCTGGAGAGTGTCTGACTTCTGGTGACCGGCATGCATGGGTATGAAAGTCAGGAAGTAACAGTAACACTCCTATACAGAGTGCTTGGAGGCGTGACTTGAAGCCACGGATCCAACTACTAAAATCAAGCATTTTGCAGGCAATTTCTAGAAGGTAACTACTGTAGGCACTATAACTCAAGTGCCCAAAAGGTAGATCCCTAGAGGTTTTAAAACTACAGCTTCCATAAAGCTTTGAGTTTACGGCTCCCTCGCCGCCTGCCTGCCTTCCTTCCTATCTACCTGGACTCCAGGTAAAGAATCCACTCCAGCTCAACCAAAGGTTGATGTTGGGTGGATTTAAATTAAAACAATTTAAATAATTTGTGAGTGTGTCAGTATCAGTGTGTGCCTGTCTGTGAATGTGACTCTGTCAGTAAGTGAATGTCTGTGAGTGAGTGTGTGTGTGTGTGTGTATCTGAGATTCTGTGCCTGTCAGTGAGTGGGTGTGTCAGTGTTTGTCAATGAAAGTGTGCATGTGCCAATTACTGTGTCTGTCAGTGCATGCATCAGTGAGTTGTATCTGTCAGTCAAAGTCCGTGTTGATCTTAAACAGGAAGATGTGCAGCCTTGACAGAAAGAGGTGGGGCAAATTTAGGTTAGGAGGGTGCCTGTGTTTTGACATGCCTAGGGCAGCCTAAATACACCACTGCTGGGGGTATACCTTTTGGGCACCCCTGGACTACAGCAAATTCAATAAGATAAAATTGTTATAGTGAGTTCCTTTAACATGCACCTTAGGTCAGGCACCCCACCACTACCACATGTAGTAAATTCAGTGAGAGGGGGATGTAAGAGTGACAGTAATAAAATAGAAAGAACAAGAACAGAATATTCAAGGATATAATCTTTCAATGTAGGGTAATAACTGCTTGATCCAAGGATAAATCTGACTGCCATTCTGGGGTCAAGAAGGAATTTTTTTCCTAGTTTGTTGCAAAATTGTGCTTCAAACTGGGTTTTTTTGCCTTCTTTTGGATCAACAGCAAAAAACAAATGTGAGGTAGGCTGAACTTGATGGACGCAAGTCTCTTTTCAGCTATGTAACTATGTAACTAAGAAAGGACAATTGAGAAATAGATGAAAAAATTTAATTCACTGGTGAAAGTGTATGTATATATAATAAACTTTTTTTTTTTTTACCCTCTAGGAAGATGGAGACCTCCAAATCCTCGATAATGCAGGTCAGCTTCGTTTGCCAGCGATGCAGCCAGCCTCTAAAGCTTGATACCTCCTTC